AAAAAATGACTAGCACAGTTAGCAATACCACTTTTTTTAATTTAGTTTAATTTTATTATGTCAGTCACCATACAGTACATCATTAGTTTTTGATGTAGTGTTCCATGATTCATTGTTTTCATATAACACCCAGTGCTCCATGCAATACATGCCCTCCTTAATACCCATCACCGCATTCACCCATTCCCCCACCTCCCTCCCCTCTAAAACCCTCAGTTTGTTTCCCAGAGTCCATAGTCTCTCATGGTTCATCTCCCCATCTGATTTCCCCTCCCTTGATTTTTCCCTTCCTTTTCCTAATGTCCTCCATGCTATTCCTTATGTTCCACAAATAAGTGAAACCATATGATAATTGACTTTCTCTGCTTGACTTATTTCACTAAGCATAATCTCTAGTCCCATCCATGTTGATGTAAAAGTTGGGTATTCACCCTTTCTGATGGCTGAGTAATATTCCATTGTATATATGGACCACATCTTCTTTATCCATTCATCTGTTGAAGGGCATCTTGGCTCTTTCCACAGTTTGGCTATTGCGGACATTGCTGCTATGAACATTGGGGTGCATATGGCCCTTTTTTTCACTACATCTGTGTCTTTGGGGTAAATACCCAGTAGTGCAATTGCTGGGTCATAGGGTAGCTCTATTTTTAATTTTTTGAGGCACCTCCACACTGTTTTCCAAATTGGCTGTACCAACTTTCATTCCCACCAACATTGTAAGATGGTTCCCCTTTCTCCACAACCTCTCCAACATTTGTTGTTTCTTGCCTTGTCAGTTTTTGCCATTCTAACTGGTGTAAGGTGGTATCTCTATGTGGTTTGGATTTTAATTTCCCTGATGGCTAATGAGGAACATTTTTTCATGTGTCAGCCATTTGTATGTCTTCTTTGGAGAAGTGTCTGTTCATGTCTTCTGCCCATTTTTTGACTTGATCATTTGTTTTTTGGGTGTTGAGTTTGAGAAGTTCTTTATAGATCTTGAATATCAGCCCTTTGTCTGTAGTGTCATTTGCAGATATCTTCTCCCATTCTGTGGGTTGCCTCTTTGTTTCATTGACTGTTTCCTTTGCTGTGCAGAAGCTTTTTATCTTGATGAAGTCCCAAAAGTTCATTTTTGCTTTTGGTTCACTTGCCTTTGGAGATGTATCTTGAAAGAAGTTGCTGTGGCCGATGTCAAAGAGGTTACTGCCTATTGTTCTCCTCTAGGATTTTGATGGATTCCTGTCTCACATTGAGGTGTTTCATCCACTTTGAGTTTATCTTTGTGTATGGTTTTAGAGAATAACCATGAAGAGTTTCATTCTTCTGTATATAGCTGTCCAATTTTCCCAGCACCATTTATTGAAGAGATTGTCTTTTTTCCATTGCATATTTTTTCCTGCTTTGTTGAAGATTATTTGATCATAGAGTTGAGGGTCCATATCTGGGCTCTCTATTCTGTTCCGTTGGTCTGTATGTCTGTTTTTGTGCCAGTACCATGCTGTCTTGGTGATCACTGCTTTGTAATATAGCTTGAAATTGGGCAACATGATGCCCCCAGCTTTGTTTTTCTTTTTCAACATTTCCTTGGCAATTCGGGGTCTTTTCTGATTCCATACAAGTTTTAGGATTGTTTGAATGAAAGGGGAGAGATCAGGACTAACACCAAGGAAATAGAAACAATGATTAAAAATTATTATCAACAACTATATGCCAATAAATTAAGCAACCTGGAAGAAGTGGATGCCTTCCTAGAAAGCTGTAAACTACCAAGACTGAAACAGGAAGAAACTGACAACCTGAATAGGCCAATAACCAGTAATGAGATTGAAGCAGTGATCAAAAACCTCCGAAAAAACAAGAGTCCAGGGCCTGATGGATTCCCTGGGGAATTCTACCAAACATTCAAAAAAGAAATACCTGTTCTCCTGAAGCTGTTTCAAAAAACAGAAGCAGAAGGAAAGCTTCCAGACTCATTCTATGAGGCCAACATTACCTTAATCCCCAAATTAGGCAAAGACCCCATCAAAAAGGAGAATTTCAGACCGATATCCCTGATGAACATGGATTTCAAAATCCTCAACAAAATCCTAGCTAATAGGATCCAACAATACATTAAAAGGATCATCCACCATGACCAAGTGGGATTTATCCCCAGGATGCAAGGGTGGTTCAACATTCGGAAATCCATCAGTGTGATAGAACACATAGTAAGAGGAGAGAGAAGAAACGTATGGTCCTCTCAATTGATGCAGAAAAAGCATTTAACAAAATACAGCATCCTTTCCTGATTAAAACTCTTCAAAGAGTATAGGGATAGAGGGAACATTCCTCAAGTTCATAAAATCCATCTATGAAAAACCCACAGCAAATATCCTCAATGGGGAAAAGCTGAGAGCTTTTCCCTTAAGATCAGGAACAGGTCAAGGATGCCCACTCTCGCCACTATTGTTCAACATAGTACTAGAAGTCCTAGCAACAGCAATCAGACAACAAAAAGACATAAAAGGTATTCAAACTGGCAAAGAAGAAGTCAAAATCTCTCTTTTCGCAGATGACATGATACTTTATGTGGAAAACCCAAAAGACTCCACCCCCAAATTACTAGAACTCATACAGCAATTCAGTAATGTGGCAGGATACGAAATCAATGCAGAGAAATCAGTTGCTTTCTTATACACTAACAATGCAACTGTAGAAAGAGAAATTAGAGAAATGATTCCATTTACAGTAGCACCAAAAACCGTAAGATACCTCAGAATAAACCTAACCAAAAAGGTAAAGGATCTATACTCTAGCAACTGCAGAACACTCATGAAAGAAATTGAAGAAGACACAAAGAGATGGAAAAACATTCCATGCTCATGGATCGGAAGAATAAACATTGTTAAAATGTCTATGCTACCCAGAGCAATCTATACCTTCAGTGCCATCCCATTCAAAATTCCAATGACATTTTTCAAAGTGCTAGCAATACCACTCTTGGCTCTGGATTATTATATTTAAATACCATCGCTAAAAGAACTCTGGGAGCTTATAAAAAAATAAGAAGGCTAATTCCAGGTCTTTATCAGAAGAATATACAACTGAGCTGTAATATCCTGTCAATCTAGAAAGCAAGGAAGCTATAAAAGACTGTGTCAGAAGAACTCGAGATGCCAGGTTGAAGAGGCAAGCCTCCCATTGGCCAAATCTGGGACAGTTTGGATATCAGTAAGAATAACTAGAGTTTATTTAAACATTTATATGTTTTTACAAAATCTCATTCAAACAAAATGTAAAAAGATTTTTTTTTTTTTTTAGATAATCAGGAAATTTGAATACTGGATATTTGATGATGTTAAGGAATTTTTAGGTTTGGTCATAGTTGGTGATTATATACTTAAATGTTTATGAATGAACTAATATAATTTCTCACATTTGCCTCAGAACAATGTGGTGGAGTTGGAAGGGGGTAAGTAGAAGTGAAAATGAATGAAATAGAACATGCCCTGAGTAGATAGTTTTTGAAGCTGGATGCGTGGGTACATGGGAACTTATATTATTCTCTCGACTCTTGAGTATGGATAAAATTTTTCCAAATAAAGTTGAAAATATTTTAAAGAGAATAAAGAATTATGAGTGCCTGTATCATAGTATTATTGTGGAGATAGTGCCTGGTAAACTCCATATTACATTACTTACCTTAAAAAAGAAAATAAAAATAGCTCAGATCCCATGCCCTCGATCCCAGGTTTTCCACTCAAGATGTAAAAGATTCTTTCATTTCAGTCAACAGTCTGGAGCTGAAAGGTCCCTGCGGGGCTCTCCTTGGGCCTGACCGGTGCTGACCAAGGGGACATGGGAGGAAAGGGATGAGAGTCAAGGCAGGAGGGAGTGAAAGATGAGTTTGGTCTTATGTACCCTGATTTTGAGGTTTCTGGATAATCCTAAATGGAGAGAGATCTATTAGGGAAGAGGTTTTATGGTCCTAGAATTTAGGAATCCAATTTAGGCTGGAGCTACAGTTCATCTTTCTTTTGGCTGAGTCTTCCCTGGACCCCTCCTTTAATTAGACACTAGCCTGCCAACTAAGGAGGAAAAATTGGTCATAAATATATGTTATATCAGCAGTTTGGTAAATATAAACTTAAACTTAAACATCCAGCCATGTTTATATACAGCAGTCCTTTTGATAAGACAGAGCTGCCTGGAATCATGTCAGTGGATGATCCTCCTGAAAGAGAAAATTGACATTACAGTTAGAGAAATGTAAACCACCTTCACAGATGGAAACAAGGTTACTGCCGTGTGATTCCTTTTATTTATAGGTGTAGGAAAGTTAATAATGAGGGAGATCAGAACAAGGAGAGTAGAAAGGAGATAAAGTGGGACTGTTCTTAAAATTTTCATCTAAGGCCTTTTTGGCCCTACTCCTTACTAGGGAAAGGAGTAAAATGTGTTCAGCTGACCTATATTTCCAATCTTTTGCTTTACTGTGTTCAAATTTTATAGAAACATAAAGATTATGAAATCAGAGTGATTATCTAATTTCCCCTCCTTATTTTTCAGACGATGAAATTGAATCCCAAGTGATTAAATGATCTTAGATAGCCTAGCTAGTTAATATCATAGTGTGTTTATTGAACCTTTTCAAGTGCCTGAAACATTTCTCTTACCCAGCACCCATCCTCCCCCACTGACTCGTTAATTCCCACTATTCTGTAGATTTTAGGTCATTGATTCCTTTATGTGAGGAGTCTACCTTCCCCACTGCCCTCACCCCTCAATAAGGTCAAATAATTACAATAGCAGAAAGCAACTACAACTGTTCATTGGACACTTACTATTTAATCATTACAACTCTATGAGGTAGGTACTATAATCTGCATTTTACAGAGAGAGAAACTGAAATACAGGGATCTCAGGGATCTGGAAAGGAGCAAATTTTCCCAGATTCGCTTTTCTAACTATATTCAGTATAGGTAACAAAAAGAAGTAAGGAATAGAAGTTAAGAGCCTTAAATACCAGATGAGACTCTGCCTTGTGGTCTTAAGCTAAGTGCCCAGGGATATAATTATATATGCTAGAGCCAGAATTCAAACACAGTCTTACTCCAAGTCTGAGCTCAACTCACCGCCCTCACCTATAATCAGGATACCTTGTGCCTATCTTGGCACTTACTGCTCTTGTAATGTTATGTTTATTTGTGGGATTATATAATACATTTTTTTCCTACTGTATTGGTAACCTTTAGGAGGGCTGAGATCCTGTCTTTTGGTTCATCATTTTTGCTTAGCTTCTAAGTGCCTAACATCAAGCAGGCTCATTGCATATATTTTTTCATGTGTAAAGTGGAGTTAATAATACAGTATTTTTATACTATTGCACTACACTGTAGTACAGTTGCACTGTTATAAGAACTGTGAGAGGGTGCACACTAGTTCACGTCCATTGGTAAGTAGTCATTAATGGAGTGGCTTTAATTATAATAAACAGGCTTAGAGGTCACTTAGCTTAAGACCACAAGGCAGAGTCTCATCTGGTATTTAAGGCTCTTAACTTCTATTCCTTTCTTCTTTTTGTTACCTATACTGAATATAGTTAGAAAAGCAAATCTGGGAAAATTTACTGCTTTCCAGAGCTGATTTCTTAACTAGACAGACAGCTAAAGTATAAGCTTCATCCTTGCTAAGTGTTGGTTTCATCCTTGAGACCAAGACAGATCCAGAGTCTTTACAATACTGTGGTAGTTAACGTAACTCTCTGAACTAGTCTCTTGGGCACGGACCATTAGGAAAGGCTAAGGTAAATATTTTCAAAATAACATGTAGTTTGAAGGTGTCGTTGTTAATGTCCTTATTCAATTACAGCAGGAGGTGAGTTGGTCTTTAAGATGAATTTGTTTCTACATGTATTCCATGTCGTCTTGTATATATTTTGTGTGGTGCAGATAGGATTTATTATTTCAAATCATATCCTTGAACTTAGTTCAGCAGTGTTATCTCTAGGGTATAGAGATGCATTTGGCAAGTGATTAGCAATGTATTCTGGTATGCAAGAACCTAGCTGTAGAATAAAAATCGAGTTATAAAATTAATCTATAAAATAGTCACAGTTAAAATGGTGAAGAGACCAGAATTAATCTTAAGAAAGCACAAGACAAAATGCAGATATCCTAAAATCAAAAATAGTAGTGTTCATTAAAGTGACAATCAATTATTTAATTCCAAGGACAGACACATTATAGTCTAAAAATATATTTCAGATTCACAATTGACTAGCTATTTTATGTGGCAGAATACCAGCTTTGCATATTTATTAAAATTATTCATAACTGCGTAGCTGCCCAGATGAACTGTTGAGTTCTTGTTCCTTGATTCAATATATTATCTTGTCCATTTTATCATGGCATGGTAATAGAAATTTGTCTAAATTTTAGAATGATCCATGGAATATTTTCAGTATCAGCATCTCCCAAATACATATTTTATCATTTCTGTTTTGCCTAATGTGTTCTTTTACATAGCTTTAGGAAAAATCATCTATCTCCATAGGAAAATTACAAGGTTTTTTTTCTTTAGGGGATATATTTCAGACAGAATTCTTTATTTAATATGAAAAGGTACTGTATCATCAATCTTTAGGTATCAAAATATTCCTGTTACCTAAAAATTTGGACAAGATGTGAATTCTTCAGGATAGTAGAGAAACAGTAGAAGTTCATAATCTTTATGTAGATTTTAGGGAGAACTGTGTTTGCTTTAGATATTATTTGTTGAGTAGGGTGTTGCTGTGGTCAGTCAGTGTGACAGTGTAGTTGGGATGGTGAGTTCTGGAGTCAGACTACCTTCATTTCATATCCTAAGTCCACCACTTACGATTTATTTTTTAAAATTTGGAGCAGTGATTATCTCTCTTCTGGAAGGTTGAATAATAGTGTCTGCCTAATAGGGTTGTTAAAGAAGATTCTATGAGATAATGCATGTAGAGTACTGAGAACTGTGTTGGACACATAGTAAACACTCAATAAATGTCAATGAATAAATAGTGTTAATCATAATACCATATCATGGAATGCCACGAAGTGGGGGCTATGGTTTTAGCAAGAATATGCATAAAGAGATACTAATCTCCAATAACACGTCTCTAAATTGGTAAAAACTTAGAGGATGATGTTAGGAAAGAAGAATAAAACCTTTTTAGATTAGAATATTAATTATACTGGAGTTCAGAGAAGCCTCAGACAATCGAATTTAGTCCCCTCTCTGTATGGGTGGAAAGCACAGCTGTAAAAGGTTAAGTGACCTCCCCAGGATTACCCAGCTAGGATAGCAGACTCCAGCCACGTCTTCTGGCTCAAAGTTGAGTGCTCCATCTGTTTTAAAACACTGTCTTATCCATAGGAACATTCATTGAACCTGTCCTAGATGTCATTGTTTATATATGTGGCTTCTTATCCAGTATATAACACCTCCTTGCTCCTCTTGGTTTGGCATCCTAGTTGTTGTTAATCCTCTAGAAATAGCTTTCTATACACCCAAGAGTCATGGAGAAAACAATTGACCGTCCCCGAGCTAGCACTGCGTTCAGCGAGCATGAGCAGCTCTATCTGAATGCCTCCACGGGACAATCGCTATAGCCCTGGGAAAAGGGAATGTCTGTGAAGTTGTGGAGAATTTCCCTGGAGATCTCATAAACTTCTAACATGAATATGAATCCTTTCTTCCTTATAAATCAGAGTCATGTGTTAAAGGAGATGTATTAGATGCTTCTGAGCTGTTACATTTTAGTGGGTTCTATAAAATTCTCAATAAAGGAAAGGTCAGTGTTTGTACCATAAACAGTGTTCATGAAGGCACGTTTACTCCCCCGCCCCCGTCCCTTTTGGGACTCCTGGAGTGTATATAGTACTCAAACTTGCTCTTCTTCGAAACTGCGCCACTGCCCACCACCTCCCAGAACCACCCCACTGCCCACCTGGGCGTCCTTTTTCTTAGAGGTCCTACCCGCCCTGGCCCTGGGACCAGCCCTTCCTGACAGGCGAAAATGAAAAGAGGTGATTTCACCTCGTTAACAGCATGGGTTTAGGGGCTCCACCGCCTTCAGGCTCAGCTGCACTTTCGTATGTGTACTTCAAGTTAAAAGGTTGTCGGCACACCAGTTTGTGGGGTCCTTCTTCTGTATTTTCATGGAGACCACGCGTGAGACTAAGAAAGACCAGTGGGTGACCTTTGCATGCCGACGACACAGGTCGTCGTTCTGCTCGGCGAGAGGCGATTCCTGTGACTTTTCTGGTTGTCAGCGGAGCTCCCGGCCCACCAGCCTCCGGTGCCACACGGTGGGAGAGCTAATGGTCCCGCGCTGGTTCTGGCAGAGTGGTGTGGAGGCTTAATTGAAGAATATTTTTAACCCATTATCAAGAGCATTAGGAGGAAAATGTTCAAAAAGTCTTGATGCGGCTTGCCGCTCTTTCCATTTAAGAAAGTAGATCCCGACATAAGCAAATTATAACCTGAAATAGTAATCCATCTTTATTTTCAATCCCTTCATCTTCCCAAGATAAAGACTCTCCTCTCTGAGGGCATGAAAAGGGGCAGAATCAGCTAGACTGTTACAGATGATTCTCTCCTCCTGTTGTACGTGAACACATAGTGCCCCTTGTTTAGAGCAGGGTGGCTTTGAATGGACTGTCCTGACTAAATTGTTCAGAAGGATAGTGAACATGTCTGCTAGCCTAGTCCTGGCACAGAGCGCGGTGGCTGGCAGGTACTTACAGGTGTCCAGGCCGCGTGAAGTGCAGGCCACAGTCCAAGGAACCTGAGTGGGCTTTTCCTTATATCATGATTTCTGGCTCCTTTTTTTTTTTTTATACTGAGTCAGTATGCTTTCATCCTTTCAAACTTAGAGGGGTTTTTGAGGGATTGCAAAGAGATGCGCCCCAAATTATCACCACAGCCAGCATCTTAGTTGTGGATTATCATCAAATTTAATCTTATCTTTATCTCCACGGAATAGTCTTTGGTTTGATTTCTTTGATTATTTTGTCTTTTAATTTCAAAATGGCAAGAAAAAGTGCTTCCAGTTTTTTCTTTAATTAAAATAAGTAGAAATTAGCATATGAACTATCAGAGAAAGACTAATTGAAGTCTTGAAGCTTCTTTGCTTTAAAATACACAGAATTTCAACAGGATTTTCATTTATTGATTCTCCTTCTCTGTATTCTCGGATTTTTTTTTTAATTTTGTCAGATAACCAAAAATATACTTCTAAAGCTGTGACCAAAAAATTGCCAAAGTTAAAGTGCCCAAGAGTCTTTTGAGACTTAAGACAGGTTACAGGCGCCTGGTTGGCTCAGTCAGTTAAGCGTCTGCCTTCGGCTCAGGTCATGATCCCGGGGTCCTGGGATCAAGCCCCACATCAGGCTCCCTGCTCAGTGGGGACTTTGCTTCTCCCTCTCCTTCTGCTGCTCCCCCTGCTTGTGCTTTCTCTCGTTCTCTCTCCTGCTCTCTGTCAAATAAATAAATAAAATCTTTAAAAAAGAGAGAGTTAAGACAGGTTAGAATGTATACATGAAGGATGGTTTAAAAAGTGGCAGTGTAATTTTATTAGGAAAGTGAACATGGAGAAGTCTTTGTGGAATCAGTAAGAAGCTAAGCTATATTATATTATTCAACAAAAATTTAAGGTAACTTCTCTTTCAAGTATGTGGTAGTTGTTCATGATGTCTCTTAAATATTGGAACACAAGGATTTCTAGTCTTTTGTTCCATCAGAAATTCATTCAAAAAATTCACCAATATTTCTCAAAGAAACGTGCTACCTATGGGTACATGTGGTAAAATGGCCAGTGAAAATGCTTTGCCTTAATCTTGTTAACATACAAATGTCAGTCTGATAAATGCAGTATCAGATTATACCAGTATCAGATCGTATCAGCTGTATGAGTGCTGCAGAATGCTTTTGGTCTAAATTTGTAGTTTACAGAAAAGCTGTTATTTCAGAATCTCTCTTGCCTCCTTGTATGGTCAGTTCATTTTAAGCATCTGTCAAAGACACTTGCAAAATGGAAAAGTTGCCCATTTTTTGGCTGTGTGGACAAAAAAGAAAACATGGAAATGATTGTGTATGGGAATCAGATATTCTGAAAGCCCTTTCACCATGAAAGACTAGATGCAGAATAAATCAGAGAAACTGACTTTTTAGATGTTTTGTTGAACTTGGAAGAGAGTAAGGGAAATCTCCAAAGGGGCAAAAAGTCTGTATAGTAATTGGAACCCGAAGGGGTGTGGTAAAAAGGCCAGGACTGCCCTACTCGCCATACCTGTGTAAGGAATTCACAGCTTAACTCCCTTGGGCAAAAAGAGATCAAGAGGTCTGGGTAATGTTGGAAGCCCAAAACTGAAACACTCTCATAGAGTGAGAACATTCACAAGGAGGTATACCCTCAGAGAAAGTGAGAGCTGAAAAAAAATTGAGCTCACCAGGAAAGGGAGTAGATGAGGAAAATGGTTTTTCCTGTTGCTCTAAGTGGAAGAAAAATAGTTATCATTGTATTCATCATCTCCTCTGACAGTCTGCTACTACAGGCTTATTTTTGGATGAGTCTGGGGTACAAATTTACAATTCTTACAGGGTCATGGAAACCCTAACCTAAAAAAATTTAAATAACAAATGTCCAGGCTGGCAGAACCCTCTGGTACCTGTTAGATATAAGCATTAAGTCCTCTCTGGAGGAAAGCATTAACAGTCCAGTTCCCTCAAAAATTCCTCCAGATTTAGTGTATACAGGGTTACCATAAAAAATACCGAATACTCAACACAGCAACCCAGGAATTACCAAATGGGGAATAACACAAGCCATAGGTCACCAAAGTCAACAAAAACAGTAAATAGACTAGGTCCCTGATGACCTAAGGACACTGGAATGCTGATTTTGAATATGAAACACATGCACGGAAGTACATAAAGAAAAAAAATCAAGGCAGGAATAAGAGACCATCCAAAATGTTTGGGAAGATTTGAAAAGGAAGTGAATAGAATTACAAGGAAAAAAATAGAATCATGAGACATAAAAACTCAGTAGGTTGGTTAAGTAGAGGGTCACACACAGCTGAGGAGAGAATGAATGGATTGGAAGATCACGAGAGATATCACCCCACGTGAAGCCCAGAGAGACAAAGGAGGTGAGAAATAGTCCAGAGTAAGATGTAGGGATGAGAGAAGGAAAGGATGGAACACAGGTCAATTTGGAATTCCAAATGTTAAAATATTGAAAATGGGGGGAATGGTCAAGAATTGAAGGGTCTTGAAACTTCATCATAATAACAATTTAATGAATAAATAATGAAAATTTTGTTTCTATTATAATAAGCTTGCTACAGTTTCGCAGATGCTCTTTGAAGATGCAAGACTTCAGGGCCAGATACAAAGGACTTTATTACAGTGCATTAAGCCTCGTGAGCTATATGTTCAAGCCTATTCCCTGTGCTCCCCAAGTCACATGGGGGTGATGCAGAGTGGGTTGTGTAGGAAGTCTGAGGCACATCCAGAGACCCCAGTCTTTTAAAATGGACTGTAAGCAAATCTGCTCTTTGGCCAGCAAAGAGAGACATTATTTTATCTCCAGGAAAATAAACAGATCTGCTCTCTGTGCCAGAGGGGGAGACTCTATCTTCTAAGGTTGTTTGCTCTGCAGACATCCTTGTAAAGTTATTTAGGGTGTAAAGATAGAATTTCCCAGAAATGTTGAAAGATTAGCATGTTAATATAGAGTGAATACACTGTATACCAGGCAACACAAATACATATTTAGACATATCATGGTGGGAGGGCAGGACATCAAAGACAAAAGAGGAGTCGTTAAAAGCAACCGGAGAGAAAAGATAGTTCAAATTGACAGGCTAGTTCTGGTTGCTTGTTTGGAAAAGCAAAGGGTCAAGAATAACCAAGACCTTCCTAAGGAAGAACCAGAAGAGGAGAGATGAGAGGTCTTGCCTTATGGAGATCAAGGTCTGTTACAAACCTTGAGTAATGAAGTATGAAGTATGAGTAATGAAGAGTAATGAAGACTGAGGAATTAGGGTATTAGTGTAGACAAAGAAACCACTGGAACTGTATAGAAAGCCCATACATGATATATGCATGCGTGCAAACTTGGTTTATGGCAGCACGTGTGTTGCAGATCAGTGGAAAGAGGAGGAACTGTCCCCTTAGCAATGCAGTTGCAGGATTATACACGTGGAGGAAGAAAAATGAAACCAGATTGTGACATGTAAAGAAAATCAGTTCCAGGTAGATTAAATATTTGAATCTTTAAATCATGAAACCAACTTTTAAAAGGAAAGCAAAACTATGGAAATTTCAATGAACCAAAAAAAAAAAGAGAGAAATGAGTGAGCAAGAGAGAGCCTCTCTGGGAGCTGAAGGAAGAAACTGACAACAAAGGTGATGTTGCTGAATGCTCTCTAGCTGTATGTGTGGATGCATGTGTATCAGACTGTATCACACACATCGTGATGGAAACTGTTGATGAAGATGAGGCTGCAAATTTAAGACCTCAGGCAAAACCGGGAAATGGAGGTGGGAGCGAAACCAACACATGGCTCAGAGCAGTAGCCTCACGCCGCTGCCGCCGCCACCGAGGGTTTCTCTGGCCAGTGTTGCTCCCACCCGCCTACAGCATGGGAAATATCTTCTCAGACCTCTTCAAGGGCCTTTTTGGCAAAAAAAAAAAAAATGCGCCTTCTCATGGTGGGCCTGGGTGCTGCGGGGAAGACCACCATCCTGTACAAACTGAAGCTGGGTGAGATCGTTACCGCCATTCCCACCATAGGCTTCACCATGGAGACGGTGGAGGACAAGAATATCAGCTTCACCGTGTGGGTCGTGGGTGGCCAGGACAAGATCCGACCTCTGTGGGGTCACTACTTCCAGAACACACAAGGTCTCATCTTTGTGGTGGACAGCAACGACAGAGAGCGTGTGAACGAGGCCCATGAAGAGCTCATGTGGATGCTGGCGGAAGATGAGCTTAGGGTCCTGCTGGTGTTCGCCAACGAGCAGGACCTCCCCAGCGGCATGAACGCGGCTGAGATCACGGACAAGCTGGGGCGTGGTCCCTGCGCCACAGGAACTGGTACATTCAGGCCACCTGTGCCACCAGCGGGATGGGCTGTATGAGGGACTGGACTGGCTGTCCAGTCAGCTCCGGAGCCAGAAGTGAGCCACGCCCCCGCCCCTCCTTCCACCCTGCTTTACTCTCATGTGGTGTGAGTGCCAGAAGCTGTCTCCATGGTCGGTCACAGTGTGCTTCACCATGCTGTAAATGTGCAGACACAGCCTGCAGCCGGGTTTTTATTTAATGTAAATAGTTTTTGTTCCCAATGAGGAAGTTTCTGGTACTCCTATGCAATATTACTCAGCTTTTTTTATTGTGAAAAGAGAATCAACCCACTGTTCAGTACTGAGAAGGGATGTTAGGCACACGGGGCCTCCAGGAGTCGCTGTGTCCAACCAGCTTGGCACGCCTCCTCTGGGCGTTAGATCTGTGCTGAGATCCATTTTGGTGGTTGGTTTTTAACCTGAACTCAGTGCATTTTTAAAATCGTTACAAATACAAGATAAGGAGAACACTTGAACACACAGAAGGGAGAAACATGCCTAGTGTCGGTTCTGCAGTGGCGGCCAGAGTCTAGCCCACCAGTGATCTGTTGCCCGTCGGGAACATGAGACACGGCAGAACCAGCCATGGTCCATTCTGCATGGTCACGATAGGGTCCCTGTGATTGGCTCTGTCTCGGGTCATCCTGCATCCCCTAGCGTTTGTGCTTGTACTTGTGCTCACACAGCCGCCCAGGAGACAGGCTGGGGGCTGCGGTCACTGCTCACGGACTCCTTGGAGGGACCCCGGCCTTCCCTTGGGTCGGCGTGGGCACTCTGGCTTGTTCCAGGCTGCCTGGGGTCTCACCAGCAGGAGTGCAGGTGGGCGGGCCATCACCCTAGAGCCTCAGCCCCGGGAACTCCTGTCTACATGTGCTTTCACTCCCTCAGCCTGCAAGGGTCGGATTTGCCACTGAAACAACGACCTCTACTGTTTTCTTTTGTATTTTGATAAACACTGAAGAAGCTGGAGCTGTTAAACTTTATCTTGGGGAAATCCTCAGAACTGGTTTATTTGGTGTCGTGGAACTGCTTACTGCTTTCAACACACGATTAATAATCAACTGTTTTGTATACTCGTTTTCAGTTTTCATTTTGACAAACGAGCACTGTACTTATAGCTACTAGAATAAAATCTCTTAACTATTAAAAAAAAAAAAAAAACGGGAAGTGGAAAATTTGTGGACGTAATTTCTTTAGCTGAGGGTGACCGCGGAGGTGACTTGGTACTCTGGGGGCTGACCAAGGCCTTCCAACGGACACAGGGTCTGTCCCTGCACTCTGGCATTGAAACATGCAAATGCAAAGCCATCCAAAGGATCCTTTCTGAAACTTTAAGACCTAAGGACAGTGGTCATAGGTTTTTATAAATGAGACCACCAGGCCTCCTGCACGAAGACTTTGTATTCAGCTTTGTTTAATGTAGATTTGAAATTAGCTTTTTCATAAAATAAAAGAAACCCAGAATGCAAAAAAAAAGGGGGGGGGAAGCATTTCTTAACACCAAGCGCAAAAAAACACAAACTGTGCAAAGGAAAAAAATTGATAAATTCAACTGTATCAAAATAAATGTTCACTTTATCAAAAGGATATGCTTAACAAATTGAAAAGACAAGCCACAGTGGGGAGAAGTAATCTGCAGCACATATCGCTGAGGATGGATTAGTATCTAAAACAGATAAAGAAATTATATGAATAAAATAACACTAGGTCAGAGGTATGAATAAACATTTCAATGAAAAGGAAACATTAACGGTGAAGAAACAGGAAACACAATCAGCCTCATTAGTGATCAGAGAACTACAAATTAAAACCACAGTGATACCATTTTATATTTACCATTTTGACAAGATTAAAATTTAGAACAGTACTGTTTGTGGGGAAGGATGAGAATAGCAGGGATTCTCACATACTTATCATCTCATTCCCTTCAAAGACCCAGGCAGCCAAATAAAGTCTGACATTCCTTGTGTTGTATTACATGTGAGGAGAAAAGTAACTTAACCAAAAAGTTACTCTGCTTTCTTAATAAACACCAAGTTATCTTTGATGCCAAAATATTCTCTGAGCAAATCTTGAACATGGGGACAGACTTGGTTTATATTTTCAAGGGGAAAGAAAGATCTGCTGAGAAAGATCTACAGCATTACCAGATGACACTGGTTTTGTTGTTGTTTTAAATCTCAACCCCCAAGTTGAGTAGATAATTCAAAAGACAACGTTAAGGAAGAGTCTTCTCACATATATTGTGGTTTTATTTCTGTTGTAATTGAAGTTGACGAACTGGCATACAAAATGAAAAATCAAAAAAACCCAAGATGCACAGTGATTAGAGGAAAGGAAAAGGAGGCATAAGCCACTAAAACTCCTTGTGTTTGAGATGAAGAGAAATGATAGCACAATACCCGATTATCCGCTAGAAGAAGAATCCAGTGGACGATCACGCTGTGCCTTGGCGTGGGCCAAGGAGGACTGCCGACTTTGATGATCATGGGTTCAAGAGCTGTCTGTGGGGGTGACCCTGGGCAGCTGGAGGAAATTGTGGGAGAGGAAGAATGAGAATTTTCCAAATTCTCAGTTATGCATGCACACACAAAAATCTGATTGAGAAGAGTAAGCTCTAAAATTGTTTACTGAATTGTTCTTATTGTTGAGTATGATTAAAGTGTGGCAATATTAAAAAATGACCCAAAAAACCCCCATAAAGCTAAAAATCTAACCTAGCATAACTACATAGAGAATGTTGCCTGGTTCTTTCAATTACTAGCTTTTGAATAACTTTCAGTATCCAGTGAGGTCTATGTGTATATACTCCTGTTATCCAGCAGCCTGTTTATTAAAAAGTTCTTAATGCATGAATTAAACTAGATAATCAAGTTAGTTACCAGGTTAGCCAGATGAGCTCTGGGAAGTACTGAAAGTTACCATTTTGGGGAGAAATTTCTCAGCTCAGATTAGAACACTTGTCAAACTTAGTGGCAGGAGACTAGGTCTGAATCAATATTTCTGCCTGGAAGTCACATAACCTCTATGAGAGATTAATGTGGTTAGTATTGGACTCTGTATTCTCTATCAGCTAAGTATGTGCACTTGTCATTCATATTTTGTTTTCAGCTTGTAACACTGACAGAAAAATCTCTGTGGAATAAAGAACCAGTTTCCTGAGTGTATGAAGCTATATTGTATTTGCATATTTCCGGGATTTAAAGGGAAGGGTGTTTTTACTTGAAACACTATTTATCTGTTTGTTCTAATTTTTTGGAACTGAAAAACATTGATAGCTATGAACATGTCTGGCTCACATTTTATTTCTGCTGATTCTAATTTTGTTGATTAAATAGTACAAGAAATGAGAATTTTTTTTTTTTATTAAATGACCGATCTCCAAGAATTTTTTCGTAAAAGCCCTGAGTAAAATTTGTCACTTTTGCCAAAGCCACTTTTCTTTTTGCATTACATAATGTGTTTATGGAAGTACACTGTAAGCTAATTCTGTAAGGTCAGGTAAGCGCTTGCAGCTTTACCCCTGTTAATTCAAGAATAGGGTTGGGCATATGCTATGTATGCTTGGTTGGTCGAGGGTGCATGATGGAAAGGAATTCTGCAGGTACCACGAAATCACTTGTTGAAACACATCGATTTCATGACAACCCCACCCGACAGCTACTGGTCAGAGCCTTGAAAGAAATGGGGTTCTTTTAGCTCACCTTGTTTGCTTTATTTTGTACATGATTATAATCCTCTTAACAAATAACCAATGAAACAAAAACTTAACCTCATTTATAATAGCGGTGATTGGAAATACCAGAGTGCCCCACAGCCTATGATTGGGGAAGTCATGATGCAGCAGTCTGACTGAGTGCTAGACAGCCATTTAATGCTGTGTAAGACCAATGGCTTTGGGGAATTTTCGTAATATATTACAAATTTAAAAAGCAGACTCTATACCTGTACTTAATGCAAATGTGTATTTAAAAAAGTTTTGAAGGATACACTTTAAGTATCAATAGTGTTGTCAAGTGGGAAGATTGCTCTTTACGCTTTCTGTTCCTTCCTGATTTTTCTCTGTGTGCAACTTAATTCATTATTTTAAATAACAACATGTAAATGTTCTAATAAAATTTCGTAAATAAAAGTATTAAGGAAAAAAGGAAACATACTTCCTGTATTTTTGTTATTATAGCACTATTCAAAGTATTATAGAGTTGTTAAATATGCATTATATATACATATATACAAAATTATATATATGATTATAGGATTATTGAGCATGTATGCCACATACTCTGCTAAGCCCTTCATGTAAGTTTTTTTATTGATTCCTCAGGATAATTTATGAAGTTGAAGGAAAATATAATCATCCCCACTTTATAGATCAGCAAACTGAAGCTTTAACCGATTAAGTTTTTTTGCCCTCAGTAATGCAGCTACTGAGTGACAGAGCCCAGCTTTGAACCAGAATCTGAGACCCAAGCCCATGTTCTTAAGCTTTTGCCTCTACCATCCCATGACTGGTCTTCCATGTCTCACTGTGGAAGAAGATACAAACTTCATTTGAGCGAAAATTTTAAGGACTGTCCCAATTGAATTGGGTGGTTCACCCCTATATTATATTCTCAAATATCCATTGACTAATGATTAGATTGTATTTTGCACATTTTATGGAATGATGCAAAATGTATGTTTCTTTTTAGGAAGGAAAAGGTATATGTGGGTTGTATCAGTGATTGTGATTTTGAGATATATACTGACAGATTTCCTTCCTTTTGGGGTGTATGTGTGTTTGAAGTTTGGAATAAGCACAGTGAACCGCACAGGGCAAACCATTTGTGCTACAAGGTCATGATGTGACCCTCTGAGGCTGTGCAGCTGACGTTACCAGAGGGCATATGGAAGGAAGGGCACTGCTAACACAGAATCTCATGTGTTTAGGAACCCAAGATGGGGTGTATATGAGAACACTGTTTCCAGGACCAGCCAAGGCACCCATCAGCTCTGGTGTCACATTTGAGCCTCGGTGAACTTTTGTGACATCCCTTCAAGAGTACCGTTCTTTCCCACTCTCTATAAGATTTCCAAAAGCACATCTCAGTAACTAATCCACAGAAAATGCAGTCTTGTCTGGCATTATCTTCTGCCTGCTTTTCTGAAATCAAGTACAACTAACTTCAATCAAATCATAATAAAAAATTGTGCTAAGAGAATAAAATTACACTCAACATAGCTAGTCAGAGAGCTCTTTAGGCTGTTAAGCGTTTAGCGGATACATATTTGCATACCCAAGTATAATGTTGCAGATTTTTAAGCCATTGAATGAATGAATATTTAAGAAAAAGAACTCGCGATTGTTTTAGTTCATGCGCATAGTTTCCAGCACATTTATACTCACCCATCCTGTGTGGAGGCGAGGCGGAAAGCCTCATCACTACTATATGAAGCTAACAGTGGTTCTTATTTTTATGTTTTACACACCACACACACAATATGCACACAGAGTATTGTTTTGTGGGGTGAGTTATGTGTAGGAGTCTGCGAGATCTATTTGCATCCTGGCTCTGTCCTAGTTGTGTATCCTTAGGCGCATCAGTGAACTATCCTGTATATCTCATCGACTTTAAAATGGAGATGCCGTTCATAGCCTAGTTTATTAAACAAACACTTATTTATTAAATATATTAATATGTCAGGGAGGCATCATTCCTTCTCTTTTTTTCACTTGCCCCTGTGAGCACTATTTGAGTCTTTGGAAAGATTTTTTTTTTCCATTGGTGACTCAAAGTTTAATGGTTTGTCTCTCTGCTCCACTCCTATTTTGTGCCCTAGATTTTTCTCAGTTCTCCCTTTTGTATTTTCCTGCTTTTTAAGAAAGAGTTTTTTGAAAATTAACAGAAGACCCTCCATTTTGCATCTAATGCAATAAAATAAATACATGTTTGGAAGTCATAAGTTTTTTCAGTTCAGAAATTATGTACATATAACATGCATCCCTTAAGCATGTAGCTCCCTGAGTTTCGAGAAATGACTATATCCATGTATCAAGCACCCCAGTCAAGATAAAGAACATTCCCGTCACCTTGGGAAGTTTGGCAAAAGCTTGTCTCCGGATATGGTTCATTTCTCCAGATTCTGACTTGATTTTCTTGCTTTGGAGCAGGAACATCATCTCCTCATATTGTCTCTGCCTCGGAATAGACTTTCTAAATGAGCCCCTTTCGCTGATGACGTGCTTTTTGAATGGGAGACAGTTTACTTGCTTTTTCTGTATGATTTTTCCTGGTTCCCCGCCCCCCCCCCCAATGTCTCTCTTGCCATTACTAAATTCCGCTGGTAATATGTTTTATGGTTTAACACCACTATGATTCAGCCTCCAAAGAGGTCACATAAGGGTTATGAAGTGTTTCATGTCAAACATTTCGGTGTTGTCCCTGACATTATCTGACCCCTGCCATTACTCAGAATTTACATAGTTCTTGTGCATTCAAGTCTTTCTCCCCCTCAACAATTAGTAAAATGTACTGAAAGTCAGGAGATTGTCAATTGTAGGAAATTCAACTCTGACAAACCAGCTATTCCTATGCAGTGGAAATATTTTGCTTATTTGCCTTATTTTTTTTCCTTCTGCACATACTTGATGATTCTTTAATTAGTACAGAACTCTCCATCTTGTGTTTTAAGTTAATTATCTGTGATTTTTTAAAAGCCTTCATTAGATACACAAAGGATAACCATAAGTAAAGTTTTTAAAGTATTGAAAGTCGCCAGCCATAATTCTATTTTTATTTTTTGAATCAGTGACTAAACCAATACTTTTGGAATAATATGTCAAATGAGCATTGCTTATTGGAACTATTTTAAAAAGATCTAAAGCATGTTTGTTCTACCTTCCCTGTGTATTTACACCTCCTCGATTTTGCTTTATGAGTAGCAAAAGCAAACTGTCACTATTTGCTGTAAATTGAAGCTTTTAATAATTATGTCTGTTCCTACCACATTTGTCAGCTTTGAATATTCTGTCAGTAGAAAATAAAAATAGCAGGGAAACTCAGCAGCCGTGACATGGAGAATTTATCTGCTTATGCTAAAGGAAGGTAAAAAAAAAAAAAAAAAAAAAATATATATATATATATATATATATATATATATATGTAATCTTGAAGGGTGGGCATTTGGCATTTTTCCTTCAAATGATGTAAATTTGAACTGGCTCTTCCTTGAATAAATTTTAGATGAAAAGTTGGCAAAACTAAATGAATAAGTTTCATCACTAAACACAGAGCACCTTTTTAACCTAGAGAGAATAGAGCACCTTTTTAACCTAGAAAGTGAAGAATAAAGAGGCTATTTCAGATCACTTATTCAGTCATATATGCCTTGTTTGACATAAGCTTGAAAAATAAATTTGGAAGTAGATCGAAAGAAACAGGATAGCGCAGTAGTAAAAACTTGGACGCATATAGCATTTAAATTTTTAAACTATTTCATAGTAAAAATTCATGTGCGGAGGATCATCTTGGATATGTGACAATAAAAAATTAATTTATCTAATAAAGATGATTCAAGTAAATCAAATCTAAATAAATTCCATAGTTCACATTTTTTGTTTGTAAATCAGGTGTGTCCGTTATAAATATTAAAAACATGAATGAATATATATTATGAAAAATTCACTGCTTTCTTTCTTTTAGATAAAAACATAGTCTTTCAGGACTTTCTCTTGTTGCTGATTTTCAGTTAAATTTAAATTCAGTTCTTGCTGTTGTGCCTCTTTCTTTTCTGTACCTGTCTGTTTGTAAGTCTCTTCCTGAAAGAGACCTTTATCATTATTGTCATCAACAAAAGTGAACATTTATAAAGCACCTATTGGGTGCCATGTTTGATAAGCATGGACGGTAGGTCAGTATTTTGAGTAGGAAGAAAAACATTGTTTTTTTTTTTTTTTTTAAAGATTTTATTTATTTATTTGTGTGAGAGAGAGCACATGAGAGGGGGGAGGGGCAGAGGGAGAAGCAGACTCCCTGCTGAGGAGGGAGCCCGATGTGGGACTCGATCCAGGGACTCCAGGATCACGACCCGAGCCGAAGGCAGTCGCCTAACCAACTGAGCCACCCAGGCGCCCGAAGAAAAACATTGTTAAAACCGTGCTTCACTGTGCTACTGTACAGTCTTTATTTAAACCTCTGTTGGAACAGAAAGGTGATTAATGAGACACTGTGAGCCTGCTTATTATCCCGTCAACCTTGTGATGTGCCTGCAAATACGGAGCATCTTTAAAATAACCATAATGAGCAAAGGAGATGGTCTCTGCTTTTACAGAGTGGACATGCCTGCATGTTTTAATTTAGTTTGGTATTAGTGTTATTTCATTATTACAGATTGAGCCTGAGGGAAAGAGCAAGTTAATTTTGTCACATGTAATGAGATAATTGCGTACATGTAATTTGACAAAGCATTCTACAGGTGTGTTATGCAGTGATGAGAAATGCCTACTCCTGATTCATCCTTTGTAGGGAGTGGAGTTGGAAAAGAGTTTCAGAGAGCAGAATGTGTTTTGTTTTTTAAACAGAAGTCCTAAAATAGTGTTAAATACTATAAAAATTTTTGATGGTGGGATGCCTGGGTGGCTCAGTCATTAAGCATCTGCCTTCAGCTCAGGTCATGATCCCAGGGTCCTGGAATCGAGCCCCGCATCGGGCTCCCTGCTCGGCGGGAAGCCTGCTTCTCCCTCTCCCTCTCCCCCTGCTTGTGTTCCCTCTCTCGCTGTGTCTCTCTCTGTCAAATAAATAAAATCTTAAAAAAAAAAAAAAAGTTTTGATGGTGTCAGGTTGGGAATTTATTTTATCACTGTGTGTGAGTAGGTTTATTTGCTTGTTTCCAATAAATGTCCTTATGTCTTAAAAAAAATTTCATTTCAATCAAGATTAAGGAGTGATTTCCAGTAAAATTGGGCTGCTAGGCAAACATTAATGATTTGTGAAGAGAGTTGTGTTTTTTTCCTGCAGAGGACTTTCATATTGAGATCAGTGAAGAATTTGGTTGTGGTCTGTCCACCCCCCCTACAAAAGTCACTTGCCTATGAAGAACTTGGTAGGGAAGAGAGGAGAGGATAATTCTCCTCCGCATTTTTTCTGTCCTGATTTGCAAGATAGTGGTAACAAAACCTATGATTTAGTTTTCTTTCTTTTTGTGCAACTGTGTAGCAAAGTTAAAATTTTTGTTTTTGTCTTCTTTTATTAGCTCTGGTTTTAAGTACCTCTTAGGATTTACAGAGCTCTGTCTTGTGTTCTTTCAAGGTTTTTAAATGCTGATAAGATTCTTCCCTTTGGAGGTGCTTTTTCTTTTTAATTTTGTTAATTGATTTGGATAAATAAGTTATCCCAGTTGTTTGGATACTGAAGGCATAAGATGCGTATCTCAGGGAAGGAGAGTGATTTAATTCCCAGTTTTCACACATGCTGAATATGGTGCCTTAGTGATTCACAAGGACCCCTTCTAATCTCCGTTCTGTTAGGGTGTTTATCTTGCTTATGAATAAATTTGAGTGAAAAAGCTTTTTAAGTTAAAGCTGCATTGATGGTTCAAAAAATAAATTAAAAATAAAAATGAGATTAAGTCTTTGATTTAGGAGGTTCATAAGGTTCTTGTGGTATTTTTTTAAAGAAATATTTAAATGGATTTCCCTTAACTCTTTAAAAGTTTCAGGACAGAATCTCATTTTATAGGACACGTAGCAGAAAGAAGAGGAGTGTAGCACCTCCTCATAAATATATGGAAGCTAAAAGTCCTCTGGCATCACTAATGCTTTTATACTTTGTGACTTGGACAGACTCAACACTTTCTACCCCATTGTTTACTGTTTTTACTAGTTAGGTTAAGCAAAGCTAGTAATTAGAAAACAGCATCTTGCTTTTCAACAGTAATTATGGAAACTCTTGTTATAAATCTTTTATATTGAATCCAGGTACAGTTCATTCTCTGTAAGCCATTGCTTTTAAGTCTAAGAGTGGATCAGTGAATTTCCTATTTAATTTCAGAAAAAAATGAATATTTGCTGTTTATTTTGGCCATCTGCATACTTGCCTCCCTTACTGTTGTCTCCTTCCTGCTTCCTCAAGTTAAAAACTTGACTAATTGGAGACTACAGCTTCTGCTCCTCCACGTAGCTCCAGTCACAGGCTCGTAACAAGCTTTGACATCTCCTCACAAGCAGCATGAAGGAGAAAAGCAATAAGCAGTATATCCGGAGAGTCAGCAAATTGGCAGAGCATCTGAGAAATCAGATTAGCTGACCTTGAGAGTTTTAACTGTCTTTAACACTGTCTTCGTTTCCCAAAAATGATCAGCCTTTGAGAGACTGAAGAAAGAAGCGATTCAGAGAAGACCTCAGTCAGAAGCAAGCCCTTAGCTTAGTAGCCAGTCCAGTTCCTGCTTACGTGTGGGTCAAAGATTAACTAGTCAGATGCCAAAGAGCTCACATGCTGTTGCTTCTTTACTGGCTTTATTGAGAGAGAATTCACCAACCATACAACTCACCCATTCAGAGTGTACCATTCAGTGACTTCTAGTATATTCATCCAGTTTACGTCCAGACCGTTCTCCAAAGGGTGTGCACCATTTTACGTTCCCGCCAGAGCCATGGGAGGGCTCCAGGGTCTCCACGTCCTGGCCGTCACATGCTGTTAGATGTGTTGTTGATTATAGCCATCCCAGTGGATGTGAAATGGGATGGCAGTTTTAGTTGGATTTCCATAATGGTTGTGGTGTTGAGCGTGTTTTCATGTGCTCATTCACAGGCTTTCATGTTGTGAGTTACATGATCTCACAAACTGATGCTCACTACCATCGTACCTGATGAAACTACTCCCCCAAAGTGTCTACGAATGTGTGCCGTGTCTGTCCTAAGAGCTTTGGGCCCTGCCGTGGTGGGTGCAGACTAGAAGGAGGGACAAAACTTGTTAACAAATATATGAAATGAAGTCTTTGGGGAGCTATGATGGAAGGAGGTGGGGCAGAGGACAGTGGGATCATAAGGGGTGGAAGGGTTTACTTCTGGGGAGAAGGGGTTTGATCAAGAGGGAAAAACATGGCAGAGGTGGTATTGGTTATGCTGTGAACAGTTCTGTCTCGGGCATTGGAGCAAGAAGGGGGCTCTAAGGGTGAAAAGACACAGCTCCTGACGATGTGAAGAGCCATCAGTGGCCATTGTGGATCTTGATTCTTGACCGTCGAAATGCTGCAGGCCACAGTTTCATAAAGCACTGCTGAGCTGGTGTCTTTCTCCTTGACTACAGTCCTCATGACTGGGGAAAGTGCTTCCTCATATCAGCTAAGACGGGGCAAAATAGCACTAAGCAGCTGAACAAGAGCTGTGTCCATTTGGTCCAGAAGCTGCTTTTGTTATTGTTGTTGTTTTTGAATGCCTGTGAGGATTTCTTTTCGTGCCTGATTGATATCTGGGGGGAAAAAAAGTCCTTTTAGAAAAAAATGTGATTTGTAATCTTAAATTTAGGAAATACCAAATGACCTCCCTAGGTCTTTTGCATGTATAAAACATTTTTTTTCGTAAGCTATATTACTATTTTCCCTGATTATATGTTTATTTTCAGGGTTTGTTTTGTTTCTCATTCTCTTTCTGATAGCAGTTATAATGGTTTTGGAGAAAAAGATCAACTGTTGTACTAAATCTCACCTAGAACACTTCTGCCTCTTAAAGATATTCCAAGATTGTCTTCAAAAGATGTACAGGAGAAGTGACTCTCCACATCCCTGACGAGCTCAAATCCTCATTTATGTTTACTAAATTTGCAACTCTGACATGCTATTTTAGAAAGCCATATAATGTTTTTGCCAATTGGTTCTGAGGTTTGATGGCTTAAGGAGAAAGAGATTTGTGTCCTGAATCTTACCAACATTGCTTTATTCCCCCCTGAAAGAGGGGTGCTGAGAAATCAGCACATTTAAATATTGACACACAATTTCCTTGATTTTATTTTCCTACAGATAAAATGAGATCAGGAACAGGGAATTTTCTGGAATGCTTTCATGGAAAAACAGGCCATCGCAAAAATGCTGTGAAACAATTGAAGCTCAATTATTTGTACTAGTGTTTTCTTCAATATAATTAGACCTATGTTACATAATTTTGCTTCAAATCACTATGAATATCGATGAGAAAACTTGTATTCCTGGTGCCTTCTGCTGTGAATATTACTCTACAGTTCACCATAAATATTCCTTCTCCTTTTCTTCTTTCTGCTGACCCAGTTAGCATGCACAGACTGGAACTCTGCACTCCATGTGGTGGTTAGTGCCAAGGCCCTGGGGCCCTGGGGCCCCACAGAATCTGGTTCAGACCTAGCATCACTGCTTGAGTTCGTCCTTTAACTTCTCTTACATGCCTGTGCGTTTGTTGCAACATGTAAAACTGGAAATAATACCTACATCCTAGGACTGCCATGAGGAATAAATAAGATTGCATGTGGCAAGCCCCGGACAGAGCAGACGGCAGCTGGGACACCCCGATCCTATAACCTACAATTGCTGTCACTGCGGTGAAAGTCTCCTTAGTGGGTTTCTGGCCAGTGTTTACATTCCGATCCCTGAGACCGTCCAGAAACATGTTTGTTGTGGTGATAACTCACTTTGAAAACATGAACTTCCTCTGTAAATTGGAAGTTGTCTTCCCCCAGGTGTGTGGCGGGTGGGTGGTTGGTCATTGCCACAGCTCCTATTTAGTGAGGGCAGGCCTGGGCGAGGCCCGGCTAGGGGGCAGGTGGTGGGAGGTGATGAGCTGCACTTGGGTTTTCTAATTCAGCTGAACAGCCGAGGCAGAGTTACCTCCGTGATGTAGTTTGGAAATCCAGGCAGAGACGGTAGGTGACTTGCCCGAGGTTACGTGGTTAACATAGGCGGCACCAGGGGATCATGTTACCAATTGATCATGAATGATGATGCAGAAGTTGTCACTTTAATTCTTGGAAGGAGGTGGAATGAGGTAACAAGAATTTAGCATTTTTCATAATGAATGTAATTTTTGCATCTTCAAGTGTCCACACTCTAAAGCCCCTCAGAAGTAAGGGGTGGCCGTCATTTTTAAGGCAATCATGTTATTTCTCTTCTTGGTAACAGATCCCATGTTACCCTTTTCCACAAATCATCGTTATGTGTTTGATGTTGTCCAGACAAATCTATATGATTCGCATGGCAGGATGTTACTGGACTTGCTTCTCATACTGTACTCTGATTCATAAATAAAGCAGCTCTGTACAGATCCTTCACTATCCTTCATGGTAGTATCTCTGAATAAACATCCTATTTTTATAAATCCCTTCATTATGAAAATATTGTTCAGGCTTTTTTTCCTTTGTTTTGTCTCCTGACTAAATTGAGCAATAAACATTATGTATTGACCAAAAAGAACTTTCTACCTGTTCACCTTTTAGAACATTGATGAATTTTTTGTTTGGGCTTGTTATTCAAAGAGTAGGCACGAGATTTTGCTGTTGCATTTGTTATATCCCAAAAACTTGACTTTTAAAAAGAAAAGAAAAGCATAAATATTTGAAATCTTGAGACTAGCAAAGAATGCTAAGTAAATTCAAAACAGAGAATTCACAAGGATTTTGTGCTATATGGCGGGTAGTCTTTTGGAAGTAGGCTTAAGGTTAGTGCTTTTACATAATCAATTGTTATTTCAGGGTCCTTGAAGAGATTATCTGTAGGAATGGAAAAGAATGTTACAGAATGGATTTTAAGAATAATCTAATTTTACATAACACTGATATCCCTCCAAAGCCAGGCGGGATGTTTCTTTGTTTATTACTATATGAAACAAGCCATCCCGGATATAATTAATGGCCAGAAAATTTAAGACAAAAGAAAGTAGCTCTTCCTCAGCACACAGAGACAGTCTGTGAAGAATCACTGATGAGAAAAGTTAAGAGACCCAGAGGCTCTAGCTGGTCATAGATTTCAAAATTCATAGTCAGAGGCTGGTTGGTGTTGGTGCTGTTTCTACCTTTTCTACCAGTTTCTTTCCCAATCTCTGGATCTCCACAGAGCAGCACCTGATTGTTCTGTGGCTCTTCTGGATTATTCAGTAGTTTCCCAAACCACCTGTTACCCCGTCCTTTGCTTCTTCCCCTCCTCCTCTACCTGCTGCCTTTGCACTCTATCTGCTTTTCCATAACTAATTTATTAAAGAGTGGATGTCGGCGTATTTCTCTGTCGCCAGGTAATACGTGAGATGTTCAAGGAAGTAAAAGTTAGAGTAGAATCACACTGATACCCATGAGCAACTCCATGCAGACCTAAGTCCTTGCTCTATGATTGTCTTGATAAAGATGTGTTCACAACAGCCCAAACCATATATAGGATTGTGTGTGTGTGTGTGTGAGAGCGTGAGTGTGTGTGAGTAGCCTTGTTTAATTCTTCCCTCTGCTTGGAGGAAAAAACTCGATACCATAAACAATTTGCTGGCGGCAGGTCATCCTGTCAGGTGTTGGCCCGTGTGGCTCTACAGAGGCCTGATTTTAATGGTGGGAAGGACAGTAGAAGTCTTCTTGCTTGGTATGAATGCAGCGAGGGGACCCATCATTCAGCTCTCTTGCTTCGGGGGAATTGATTGCTCACCTGTTCGACATTAGTAACAGGCCCTCTGCTGAGGGACTCAAGGGTGAAGATAGATACGTCCCCTGACCATATGAACTGTACAGTGTGGTAGGGGAGTCACTCCCTAATCTGTCTCGTAAATGTAGTAAGTATGGAAAAGGAAAAGTACACTGCTGTAAGACCTTGTACCAGGGGACTTGATAGCCCAACAAAACTGAAGAGTGGCAGGAGCTAACAAATGAAGGAATGAGAAGGGTAAGTGGATCTAGCAGCAAGCATGGAAGGGCATTCCTAGCAGCAAAAGCTGTACATGCAAAGGCCCTGTGGCAGTAGAGGGCAAGGTTCATTTGAGGGATTCACTGTGCTTGTAGCAGAGAGTGGTCCAAGGTGAAGTCAGTGCTGGGCAGGAACCCCATGCTGGTTGGTAGCTCCGTTTGGGGAGTTTTATCCCAGAGTGAAGGGAAATGGCAGATGTGAATGGGTGGGAGTGTGATCCAGTTTGCTTTGGAGAGGTCATTTTAGACTACAGGTGAAGGGGCCAGTGGAAGCGGACCACTTGCTGGGCCATCTCAGGGGCCTAGGAATGAGACATGGATGGTAGCTTGGACCAGGGGGTGAAGGAGAGGCTGAGAAAGTTATTTAGGGGAAGAATTCAGGAGCATGTATGTGAAGATTGGATAGGAGGAAGGGTGAAGTGTCCAGGGCTGTTTTGAGGGGTTGTGTTTTCACTGCAGGCAAGATAAATTCAGGACCTAAAATTAAAAGTACACTCAAAATATCCAGAATACCAACAAGCCACGTGTGTTGTGTTCTTACCACCTCCCTCCCCTTCCTCCTTCTTCCCTCCCTCTCTCCCCCACTCTCCCTCTTCAATAATTTTTTAACTTTCCACTGTAACTCAGGCACAAAGATTGGCCACTTGGAAAGCAACTTTGGGTTCTAACTTTGCAGATGCCCAATGCCAGATCTTTTCCTATTAATATGAAATGGTTTGATAATGAATTTTTCCTAAAATATATTACCTCGTTTATATTAAAAACATACAACTCCGGAGCACTTACTTTAAACCGTCTGGCGATATAAAACATGAGCTGGCTAGGTTGTTTCTAGGTGCTAAAACCAAACGTCTGCATGAATTGCAGTGTTGCTGTAAATATTTCCAGGCACAGACAGGTAGATGCAATAGGAAAAACCCGAGCAAATTCTTAGGATGCCAATATTGTCACAACGTCTCTATGCAGAATGAAGTTGTTTGACAAAGTGTTTCCCTGGTGATTTGGCTGCAGATGAAAATGTCTTCAGCAATAAAATTCCGTGCTTGAGCCTCAGCTCTGTGCACGCATCAGTCAGCAAATGACATATCAAGGATCTTTTTTGCTGTATTAGTTAATATGTTGGCAGAAATATGTGAAACATTGTTATTCCTCTCAATTTCTGTGCCTGGGTTTTTTTTTTCCCCCTACCTTTAAACATGCATTAATTTTGCCAAAATATCTCCCAGCCATAAATCTATGACTAATCAATAAGATTGCATTAGAACAGAGATAAAAAGTTTTTTATTACGAGGGTTTTCTTAGTTACCAATACCAGAAGACATCTGATAGCAAGAGCTGCTGTTTTGCCATCGTTCGCGAATAGTTTCGGGGAAATTTAAGGGTTGGTAAGGCAATTAGTGATGAAGCATATTTTAATTATAGGAACTGGATAAGCTGTGCACAGCTTTATGAATTAATACATTATTGTTTAATAGGTCACAGTCACGTGACTTTAATCACACTTCTTGCAACCACGGTTTTATTAGCAGTCATGTTTTATAACTTAATAATTTATACATAATGAGTTCAGAAGTTCTATTTGCAGGATATCAGAGAAATAATTTACCCCATACGTTAACACGTATAAACAACAGCAGAGTCCGGCAGGGTTGCAACCAAGTAACTGTCCAAGATGATTTTACATTAAAGGGGTACTTTTAATAATGAGACCATTTTGGGGGCGCCTGGGTGGCTCAGTTGGTTAAGCGACTGCCTTCGGCTCAGGTCGTGATCCTGGAGTCCCGGGATCGAGTCCCGCATTGGGCTCCCTGCTCGGCGGGGGGTCTGCTTCTCCCTCTGACCCTCCCCCCTCTCCTGCTCTCTCTCTCTCATTCTCTCTCTCAAATAAATAAATAAAATATTTAGGGGCGCCTGGGTGGCTGAGTTGGTTAAGCGACTGCCTTCGGCTCAGATCATGATCCTGGAGTCCCGGGATCGAGTCCCACATCGGACTTCCTGCTCGGCAGGGAGCCTGCTTCTCCCTCTGACCCTCCCCCCTCTCGTGTGCTCTCTCTCTCTCTCTCATTCTCTCTGTCTCTAATAAATAAATAAAATCTTTAAAAAAAATAATAATGAGACCATTTTGTATGGCATTATGCCAAGTCTGGCTTTTACGAAGTGATTTAAGAAACAGGAGGGAAGATGAATCACAATCATTTCACACGTATTTAATAAGCACGATTATCCAGTGAGTTCTGCATCCATTCTTGCAGTTGGGAAAACCGTAAAGGGATTGGATTCATGCTCTATTGTAGAATTCTCTTGTCCAACAACTGCCCCTCCACCCCGGTTCCTCCCGGCTTCGGTGCATGTCAGAAGCTATTAAATGGGCTGCATTGAGCTGCACGTGTCTTAACAGCACGCATGGCATCCTTGAGCAAAGCCTTTCTGCATCCTCGCCTCTGGGCATCCACTGTCCTCTCAGGGAAAGTAGTCTCCTCCCATCCAGATCTGCCTCAAAAGAGCCCCCGTGAGAACACCTCCGGCCCCTGTCCTTGCACAGAAGCCGGGAAACTCACACTCGGTGATTGACTACAGGAGGCAGGGGCTGGTTTATGCTTGTCATTTTCATCAAGATTTTATTTTAAATCACAGACTCACTGGGGGCCTCAGTGGTGGAAAGTCTTTTGAGGCCACAAAGTGATATTGGAGAATCTCCAGGCTAGGGTGATCTGTGTACATTGCAAGGATATTAATAGGCCCACAAAAAGGGTGTTAGGTTCAAATAAGCTTGGAAAACTTTGGGGAAAACCGTTTGCCGATACGCAGGTGCTCAGCTTTAATGTCCAGGGAAGGCATTGAGGGTGCAGCATTTCCCAAACTTAATTGACCATAGAAAGTGTTTTTGGAAGAGTGTCTTAGTTTCTTTCTCTATGAAGTATATAAATAAAAGTGTATAAAACATATAAAAAGTATGTAGAGTTAAACAAAATTCAACCAAGTAAATTTCACAATCTAATTGGTTTTATTAAACCATTCATGAATCAGGCAGGGTCCCATCTAGCAAGTAGGAGCTCTTCTGAGCTTTAAAAGAAAGAAAAAAAAAAAGACTTTTAAAGCACAGAGAGAATTAAAAAAAGAAGAAGAAAAAGAGGAAAGGAATTTATTAGCAAGGAATGCATTGTTGAGGCAATGCTCCCCTCAGGGGAGCAGGAGGGGTCTATCAGCAAATTTCCAGGTATTGCCCAGAAAATTTCATATTGATTCGTAAAGGTTATATACCTGGAAGGTTGAAGCTGCAGTTAGGTTAGGTGTTAAGTCTTGATTTGCTGACTTGGGGGCCTTAACCTAAGTAATGCCATTTTAGGCCTGTTTTTGTTTTTGTGTTCGTTTTAACATTAGTTACACTGTTGTGTCCACAGCATAAACTTTGTCATGGTGGAAGAAATAATCTATGTTCATATGATTTTCAAGCTGTGAAGTAACATAAAAATGTAACTGATTATGCTTGCCTTTCTCCTTTGATCTGGGAGAAATAGAGTGTCAGAGAAATGATGTGCCAAATTTGTTAATTGTTCAGATTCTAGTGATCTGGATACTGTTCTTTGTGTTTTTTATTCTTCCTGCCCAACTCTTTCCTGTGCTGGGAAAATCTCTTCTTTGAGGGTCCACATCACTTACTGCAAAAAAAAAAAAAAAAAAAATGACCTTTAGCGTGCAGTTGATGATCTGAGTGTTAATTATAAGTGGTTTTTCTTGTTGTGTTTATAGTGTCTTCTGACTGTTCACTGTCAGTTGTTAATAATGCCTAATATAGCTTTTCTTCATATTAATGCAACCCTGTAATTATCTGTATGTGTCCCACACTCAGCTTTTCCAGATTGGTCTAAACTTCAAATAAAGGGGCCGGCGGGGGCGGGTGGAGAAAGGGAGTGACAGTCACAACAAATTCCTTGCTGCATAGATATGTAGACAGCCTGTACCACAAGAAACCTGCTTCTGGCTCCAGCTGCCTGATTTTTTTCTCTTTAACTAGTTTATGCTCACAGTTGCATGTTTGCAAATGTTTATTGAATTAATAAGTACCATAAATGCTATTTTGATTTCATGTGGAGGCAAGATTGAATTTCTTCATGGTTTGATCCGGTGCTATTGATTCTTTTATGGCGATTTGGAGAACAGAGCTCTGATGGTCTCAGCGAGCTAATTTGTTGGTAATGTAATTTATTTATAATGCTTTAGTTGCAGGAAGTAAAGGAACATGTTCCACTCAATACAAAGCATAGTATTCTTTTGTTATTCATTTATTCACTCAACCAAGATTTATGGTGCCTATTACTGGCCCTGGGTCCAACGGGGAATAAAATACAATTGCTGTCCTGGTGAAGTTTGCATTCTAGTGGGGAGAAACAAGTTTGTATTCTAGTGGGAAGAGACAAGCAGTGAACCAAATGTTAGATGGCAACAAGAGGCCGGGGTGGAAGGTGTCACAGAAGACCTCAGAGACCAGATGGATGTCCAGAAATTGAGGATAGCAGTGGTCCAGGCGAGGGGCCCATGGTTGCACCCACCCAGGAAGAAACAACGAGGCCACTGTGAGGTCAAAAAGATACCAGTGATGACAAGAGGTTGGCCTTCGTTCTCAATGAGACAGGAAGCCATGAGTGTGTTTTGAGCAGAAGAGTGACAAGGTCTGGTTAACCTTTTAGAAGGATCACTGGCCCGGGGATGGGTGGGGAGGGGTGAAAAGGGGAGCAGAGAAAACAGTTTGGAGGCAGTTGCAGGAACCTGAGCAGGAGGTGGTGGTGGGTTGACTGAGGTGGAACTGAGGAGAAACATGTTAGACGTCTGTTTGAAGGGGAGAGGCTAACAGAATTTTCTGGTGAATCGGATGTGGGATGGAAAGAATGAAGTTGATGTTGCTCAAATGGAATCCTGGGAGTCGAGTGGATTTGAGAGAAGGGCAGCTTGGGTGGGGTTAAGGGGGTGGTTGGCAGGTGGCTATCATAGTCCGGAGACAGGACTGTGATCTGTCTGGAGTTCCATGCATGAGTGTCCAGGGTGTGTAGTCTGACTGATAGTCAGGAGTCTGGAGGAGATCATCTAGGGAGTATGAAGAGAAGAGGTCCAGAGACTGAGCCCCACCTCCCCCCTCTCCCAGTGTTTAAGAGGCAGCAAGAGGGGGGCGGAAACCAGTACGGGGAACTGAGAGGGAGCCGTCAGTCATAAAGCGAGCTAAAAGAGCACAGTGTCCCAGAAACCACACAAATTAATGGTCACAAGAAGGTGGAAATTGATCAGTTTTGCCCGTTGCCATTGGTAATTGGGGTAAGATAATATTGAGACTGCCCTTTGGAGTTAACAATGCAGAGGTCTTATCAAAGCTAGGAGCTTGTTTAGGAAGCTTAGCTTGGAATGGGTTAAACACAGATAAATCTTTGGAGAGTTTGCTCCGAGTGAAGGCAGGGATGGGGCCATTGCTGTCCAAGGATGTTGGGTCAAGACAGGCAGGAGTAAAGTGTGTTTTGTGTTAATGTGAATGGCTGGCAGAGCGTGGGAAATTGATGGTGGAGGAGAGGGACAGTTGCTAGAGCAGTGTCATTGTGTAGGTAGAAGGGATGGGGCTCTCGAATGGAAGTGGAGGGGTTGGCCTTGGCTCGGGGTCCGGGCAGGTCATGCAGCAGAGGAAAGGACAGGAGGTACCAGGTGTGGTGCAAGCAGCAGCAGGTTGGGGAACTCGTGTTGAGACTGGGTCAAACTTCTTTTTGGAATGTTTCCATGTTCTCAGTGAAATAGGGAACAAGGTGATCAGCTGGGAGGGAGGATGGATGAGGAAGTAGTATAGTATTTAAGGTTTGAGAGAAGAGGATATAAAATGGGCTAGCAGAGGGAGAAAGAAGGTATTGAAGAGATGAGCCAAGATGGCCAAGAGTACAAAGGGGCCTGGGGGGATCATCCAAGGGAATTGAGCCTTCCTCTTTCAGCTTGCTGTATCAGGACAACTTGCCCAGAATATCTGCCAAAGTAACCAATATTCCATTGTATAAACACACCTCAATTTGTTTATCCATTGACCTCTTATTGCACGTTAATATTGTTTCCAGTGTGGGGTTTTTATGAATACAGCTGCTATGAACATTTTTTTGTACAAGTCTTTATACGGGCATATGTTTTCATTTCCCCTGGGTAGGTTCCTAGAAGCAGAAGCACTGGGTCGTGCAATAGACATATATTTAACTTGGTAAGAAACTGCCAGTTTTCGGAAGTGGCGGTTCTGCAAAAGTAAGCAGGCACATGCTTCACCCTGTTGGGTAGAAAATAAGCTTATAGTAAATGGAAAGTTCAAGGTAGTAGAAATTCATTGTCTTGGCTTAGTCATTACTGAATCTTAGCACTCACTGAACTATTATAGACCCCGTTCCCCCAAAATCTACATGGAGGACACAAAGTAGGTCATCTCCAGAGTCCCTTTCAGATCCCACATTCTGCGAATTTTCTTGAAATTCAACCACATGGTTGTAAACAGACAGAAAGCCACATATCTGCACATTTTTATTCTGTGGGAGTTGAGCTGCATTTCATGTACTGGACACGGGAAGAAAATCACGAACATAAGGTGCAGAGGCAAAAGGATTAGGCTCCTGTGAAGCCCACAAGTTGCATATGAAAATGATATATTCCTTAAAAGAACACATTGTAAGGTGATAGAGAATTCAACTCAAAAATTTATATTAAAAAGTTGTGTCCCTATGGATAGCTCCCATTTTGTTTTCATTAGGATGTATATATTGGGAGATGCAGTTGGGGGGTTGAACAGACTGCTTACACGTGCACTGTGTGGGTTGCTGCGGCGTGCTTTGAAATGGGAGCAACACAACATTGGCCCCTGTTACTACTGCAGGACCACTGGACAGGGGTTCGACTCACCTGGGTGCTCTCCAGCCAAGAGCAGAGAACGTTTTTTTCCTGTTTCCTGCCAGCGACAGGAGAGATAGCCCCTTTGCCGTCTTGTCTGTAAATGGATCTGCATGTCCACGGCTGCCCATCTCCAAGCCGCCTTGGCTATCCGTCCCCATCCTTCAGCTCCGCACAGTGAAGAGTACGCTTCGGCAAAGACTGAGGAGTCATGGTTCACGTGCTTGAAGATGTCTGATAAATAGAGGATGTTAGAAAAGACAGATTGGACATCAGTGTGAGATCGCAGACGTCTGTAATTTGTCTTTCAGGTTAATGAGAATTAGTGGTGGGGACGGAAAACCAGTTGGAGGCAGCTCCAAGCTAGTGGGGAGTCTTGACTAAGCTGTGATTGGCTGTAGAGGCAAATGACCAGCTGGTGCCCGTGCCCCCTCGGGGTCCTGGCATTGTGAGACCCTCCTCCACTCAGGGCAGGACGAATGCCCCTCTGCCCGTCACAGCTTTCTGAGAAGGGATTCTGAAGGGTCTGAGTATCAAAAGGCATTATAGGGGATCTTGGATTTGAACGTTAGAGGTCAGGCCAAATTCTCGTTACATGCGGAGAACCTTCCATAGCATCCCTGGCCTGACTGGCATTCTGGCCTCTGCTTGAGTACCTGGAGTGACCTGGAACTCACTCCCTCAGCGTATTTACTGGAGAACACATGTGCTTTTCAGGACATTCCTGTAGGGTACCACCTTACTGAGCCAGTACCGTGGGACCTTTCTTCCATGACATGAGGAAAGAATCTAAAAACAAAAGCAGGGCGCCTGGGTGGCTCAGTAGGTTAAGCATCTGCCTTCGACTCAGGTTGTGATTCTCAGGGTCCCAGGAACAAGTCCCACATCAGGCTCCCCACTCAACGGGGAGTCTGCTTCTCCCTCTGACTGTCCCCCCTCTCGTGCTTTCTCTCTCTCACACTTTCGCAATGAATAAATAAAATCTTATAAAAAAAAAAAAAGCATATGCACAGCTAGCATGGGATGGCAGCTCTGGCTGGTTGTGTTTCTCTCCCTAGGTGGGAATGGATCAGGGGCACAATAGGCATTTTACTTCTGTTCTTTCTAGGGGATCTGAAGAAGCACAAGCAAGCATTCTTTTCCCGAGTCAGGGACCATTGTTATCTTAAGTGGCCCTGATTTATCTTTACGTTGATGTATAAAGATGACTCCTTTCTCACCTTGGGCTTATGTTCTTCATAGCTGTTGAAAAGTCCATGTATTTGTAATGCTAAAGCAGTGATTTTTCAACCAGGGTGGTTTTTGTTCCCCAAGGGACATTTAACAATTCCTGTAGACATCGCTGTTGCCACATCCGGTGTGGGGGATGCTACCGGTGTTTACTGAGGAGAAGCCAGGGATGTTCTTAAACATCCCACAATGCACTGGATGGTCCTGCACAACAAAGAATTATCTAGTCCAAAGTGTCTTTGCGGGGGGATTGAGAAACTCTGGTCTAAAGGAGCCAGTGGTTCCAACCAACCAGTGGTACCTTCCCATGGTAGCCTGCACAATTGATGGTTCTGTGTTGGGGCACGCAGCATTGTTTGTATCTAGGAAGACTCAAGGGTTTTAATTTCATGAGCAGAAGAGCTTCTGCATTTATTTATATCCTTTACGGCTCTTACAGAAGAGTTAGAGTAGGAAACCAAGCAGTGGTTTTGCTTGGTTTCATCTGTAACTTCACTCAGAGTGCAAGATACCTTTGAATCCTAAATAGGGACTTATATTAAAAGGCCTCTCGGGGTTTTTTGTTTTGGGGGGGGTTTTTTTGATACATCCAACTTATCACTAATAAACCAAGAATGTCTAGGTTACCTCCAATTAAGTGAAGAGTGAGCAGTCAGGACCAAAGAGATTTAAAAGGCTTTGTGTTTTCAGGAGTTTCTTCATACGTTTCAGAAAATGGTTTGCCATTTAATAATAAACGATACACCAGGTTGTATCGTTTATTATTCAGTGGTGGGTTTTTTTCGCTGGTTTTGTTTGTGTGGTAGGGGACACAGAAGGAAAAGTGGTTTGAAAGGAAATCATGTGAGTGTGTGTTTCACGTTGTCATGGGAAGGCAAAGTCAACAGCGCGGGTTTTGATGTGTAATAGGAGTAGAACAGACATAGGCATTGAATAATTTCCCACCCACCCTTTTTGGAGTAGAAGCCATGCTGAGAGAGGACGCAGAAGAGCTTGTCAGTTAAGGCAGCCACTAATTAGATGAGCTTCAGTGCCTCTCTGGATGGCTTCCAGAAGCACACTGCCCTGTCACACTGGGCATGGGTGTCAGTTCAGGCTCTCTCGTCCCCCATCCGTTTGCCTCAGTCCAAACCAAACTTGAAATTGGAGGGGGTGAACATTTCTGGGGTGCCCCTGTGCACTGGGCTATCTGTGGGAGGTATGGGGTAGCGGGATGGAAACCGGAAGCATACATTCCTTAGGGGCATAAAAGTAGGGTCAAGGAGGGGTTCCCTGGGCCCACAATGGATATAACTCAGGGAAATACGGGGGTGGCGGTCTACTGGTGGGATAAGCCTGGGACAGTGGGATTCTGAGTTACCCCACCCGGTGCAGTTCTCTTTGTCTTCTGGCCGGTAAGCATGATCTTTGAATGACTGTTTTCACTTTTTAGAGGAAAACTAAGATTAGTGAGCTATTGTTGAAGGAGTGGTGGACCCTTTGGAGTTAGAAGGTATTGTAGAAATCCTCCTTTGGTAGTGCTTTTTAGTTATGTTAAAAAAAAAAAAAAGAAAGAAAGAAAAGAAAAAAAATCACCCTCCTATGTTTCCTTTTGTTGTGAGGCTCATGGAAACGTGGGGCCCACTGAGGCCCAGCGGTGCATGCCGCTGGGGCCGTGTGCTCTCCAAAGTGTGAGTGCTCCCCGCAGCGCAGGCAGGACCTAGCACCAGTGCGCCCTGGGCTTGTTTGCGGCTTAAATCATCTCAGGGCTCTGACTTCTTCCCTCCGGAGATGCGGTCTAAACTACCCCCCGCCGATGATGGCATTGCAGCGCTCATGCAGAAGCTTGTCTTCTGATCCTCTCCCACGGAACATGACAGTTTTCTCTGTGATGGCCGAATTAATTATCAGAAATGGTTTGTTGGCAGACAGTTGGATGCTAATTATGATTGGAACCTCTGGGCCCTTCCACCCAAATCTGCTGATGTTTGTTGGTGGTGGTAAAAATGAAAAACCATTAACTATGAAAGGATTTCTTGTTGCGGGGGCAACTCAGAGCAAGGCAGATCAGGCCGGGCAGCTTTGCTTGAGTTAACTGGGATCTGAGCCACAGCTGCTCACCCCGTGGTTGTGAGGAAAGGATTGAAGAAGTGGTTAATTAATTGTTCACTTTCTGGTAAAGAGGGGATGGAGATTGGATATTTCAATGCAAAGCCAAAAACTGGCATTGATTAAATTTGAGGTGACATTTGGGGAGGTGTCCTCAGAATGTCTAAGTTTGATTATCCAATTTGACTTCACGCTGTGTCCCGGGTTTGTGAAATCTTTCTAGCAGGTTCCACCTGGGAAGAATTATTTTCAATTAAATGGATCAGGACCACTGGAGAAAGAATCATGAAACGTACCTGTAGCATGGGGCCATGTTGGGAACAAAGCTGCCCAGCTCACAAAGGGATGTTTTGGGGGTCGGCCTGTGCTAAGATGGGCTCTGGGCATCTTTTCATTCTCTCTCATCATCAGTTACGTTAATGAGGTGTAGACATGAAGGCAGGTGCGTATTTCATGGAGCTGTGTGACGCATGGTGGATGCTATTGCCGGCTCTCATTGGGGACAAGCAAGGAGGAGGCCAACAGACCCTTGATCACTGGAAGGGGATGATGACCTACTGGGAGATTATAATAGGGCAATCAAGGATTAGTGGGGAAAGTAGAGAAAATAAGAACAGGAAACTTTTTAATCATTTCATGTAGGTATGTGAATGGCTGGCTTTCTTTAGTGAGGCTGCTGGTATGACACAGGCAGTGTTCCAATACATTCTTAAATAATCTCTAATGAATAAGTAAACAAAGAACACCCCTAAATACTCTTTTAGGGGTCCCATCAATTGTAAGGGAGTCTTTTCCTCAAGGAAAGTTGAGTGACTCATAATTTCTGGCTAAATTCGGTGGCCGATCTAAAATGACAATATAAAAAAATACATGTTGTTTAATTAATGTTGCATTTCAGTCGGTAATCATCAGATAAGGTTGTCTGGCAGAAACATAAATTTTCCTTTAGGTTTTACTTGGGGAAGCAACAGTACAGTGAGTCCCCACTCATGAACCACTCTTAGCACAGAAAATATACACAGAGGCAAAGACGGGTGCATAAAAATAAACTACTTTGTTCCCAGCAGAACAGGGTGTGCTTGGGGACGTGACTGGGTCAGAAGCGGCTATTTTAAAGTCCCTGAAATTTTTCTCCACTTACACTTTCAGTTGAAGTTCCTGAAACTTCTTCTTCTAAGGCATAAATGCCACGTTAAGATGGATGGTAAGTCTAAGGGAATTATACTCATTAAATCTCATTTCTCTTTGCCTTTTCCACCTTTTTCTTGATGATTTCAGTTCTTACCATGCAGCAATTCAGTGACCTCAGTTCTCCCTCTTAGGAACCAGAGAGGAAAGCCCTCTGTGTTTACAGAGACTCAGAGCCTCCCCTCTGTCCCAGTTCTGCTCACGGGGAGCCGTGCTGTCACTGAGCTCCACCTAGCACAGGTAGTGATCGGTGGTTTGGCTCTGTCGGAAGGGGGAAGAAGGTAGGGACCAAGCCAACAGCATGAACACCTGGATTGGTTCATGAGTGTCTTCATTCATTTATTCACATGCTCGTTCACTCACTGGTTCACAGAAACTTGCGGGGTATTTTAGGATGCTGGGAACCACGCCCATCCTTGTGCAGAAAGCATGGACCCCACGCTGGGGGTTCAGTCCCCAACTGTGCATTCTAGCAACTCTGCGTTGTTACCGGGGGTGCAGACGCCAAGTTAATACAGCCCTAGAGCTGGATTTCCAGCTGGGCGTGTTCCTTTTTTAAATGGACACAAAGATTATAACTTTGCATACCCTGGTTTTCGAATATTAGAAAATCACATACTCACATCAGCAGTTTAATCAGGTGGGTATCTCCGGCTTCTGCCAACTTGTTTGAGACCTTGTGGGTGACTTTGGGTAGGGTGAGGCAGTTGGACTGACAAGAGCCTGGCCCCCAGGCTTCAAGGAGGCTCTGAGCACGTTTCTGCCACCGACCACCTGTCACCTTGGCCAACTCATTTGCCTCAACCACACACCAGTTTCTCATCCGTGAAACAACACGTTTAACCAAAGGCGATACTCATTTTTTTAATCGATTTTTTTTATTTTAATGGGTAAAAAAATGATTTTAAAGTTTAATCAGTCTAATAATGGTGTTACTAAAATGGAAAGGGAGACCAAACAAAAAAAAAAATTTTTTTTCCATTTGGGACAAGTTGAATTTCAGAAATACCATCATCTGTGCTGCCTGAGGTTAGAGACAGTATTTCTAAGTACACCTGTCATCTAGTGAGTAATTAGATGTGTCCAGCCTAACTTACATGATTTCATTCATTCTTCACAACCTTAAGAGGGAGGTTCTGTTAGTTTCCTTGTACCCTTATGATGTATGTACTGTCCCTATTTGCAGATATGGAGATAGAGACCCAGAGAGACGAGGTAACTTGTCTGGGGTACACATCAGCGAATGTTAAAACAGGGTTTGAATCCAGAGCTTCCGTATGACTCGCATAATGTTCTGATCAGCTTTCTGGCCACACCACCTGTCACAAAGGAGGGGTCCAGTAATTGGTGGATACATGGTGGGTAGAATAGGATGGAACCTTTTAATGTGATCACTTTGAAGACCTGTACTCAGGTAGTCCTATTTCCCGCCGTGTTCCTGGATCAGTGCTGCCAATGGGTCCTGTTTTAAACCCTCGCTAATTAAATAATGACTTGATCTCTGGCCCCTTGGGACACAAGTGTAGTCTCCCGAACAACAGCGTTGGCATCACCTGGTAACTGGTCCGAAAGGCAGGATCTTGGGCCCCACCCCAGACCCACTGAATCAGAATCAGCATGAGCACTGGTTCCCCAGGTGACTGCTGTGCGCACTGAAGTTTGGGAGCTTTGCACACCTGGCAGGACCCCTCGCGAACCCTGTGCTGCTCGGCAGAAGAACACAGTTGACTATCACGTCACGGTGACCACGCTGATAGTGCTGTGGCCAGGAGTGATGCATTTGAGGAGTGTGTGTAAGGTACTGAAGAACGGGACACTCGGGGGGAATGAACGCAACCCGAATGCAAGAGCAGCTGTAAAAAGAAAAATCTTTTCCCGTGGACCTTGCTTTTTATGTGGTGGAGGAAGAAAGGTTTTTTTTGTTGTTGTTTTTTTGTTTTTACTTTAGAAAAAAACCATCCCTGGTTGCTTGGAAGTTCAAACAGTAAAGTCCAACTAGTAAAAAGTAAAAATTAATAAAAAGAGAGAAGGCTAAAGCTTAGTTACAAACCATAGTTCTCAAGGTTACTATTTTGAGCTAATCGCAGGACTCCCTGCCCCTTTGTTTTCCCCCTAAAAGTTCGTATTTCTTATAAAACAGCTCCAAAGTGAAAAATCATATGTGTCCTATAAAATAATTACTCATCTTTACCATTAAGAACAAATACACAGCAGGCAGCAAGGAATGCCTTTCCTACCTTCTCATGTGGCTGTTTTGTAAATGCACAAAATTTTATAGAACGTGCAAGAAAAATGTAAAATTCCTTGCTATCAGTGGATTCTACCTAACAAGTGAAAATTGAAGCTTAGCTCATTTAGAGGCAATTATATGATGTGTTCAGTGAGGTTTTTAAGACTTATATTGAAAAAATTAAGTATTATGTACAAAACATAAACGGATTATACTATAAATCGAATCTATTGTGAAATGTGAGAATGTAAGTGTGTTAATACGTGTGTGTACGTAATGTGTTCTGATGGGGAGGAAGATTATTACTAACTCCTTGTTTTTATAGTGTGTTGATATTTTACAGAAGGTTAAAGTAAATGAAGTGTTGCAAGGATTTCCAAAGCTATCCATTGTAACTTCTAGGATCATGTTCTCCAAATTGCTAATTAATGTAAAGTCAGCTTCATATATTGAGATGTTTAATCAATTGGCAGATTGCTGTCAATAAATATGTGTCTTAAGCGGTTTGTAATAGACAGGCTAATGAAGTACCCTCTGTGAGTGTCAGAGCTATTGGGAAAAGTCTCTCTCCCTTCTGGGCATCTTGCCATATGTTATTAGTCTCCCTCTGATGCAGGGAAGAATGCCCTTCACCACTGCCGGTCTCACCTCTGGATAGAGTAGCTGGAGAACCAGGAAGTGAGTTTCATTTTCTAGGAGCAGTTAATCAATCAGAAGTTAGGTGGAAAGGGGGGCTACTGGCAACATTAACAATATTAAAAGTAAGAGTTCTCATGAATTCTCCCAGGAGCCACTGCTCTTCCTCTTACCCTAAGCGGCTTGAGGTGACCTCTGAAAATGGTTCGCTATTTGCTTGACCCAGAAAACCCTACGAATCACGTAAATCAAGAGGTTCAAATCTTCGTGTTCACTTTAAGAATGTACGTGAAACTGCCCAGGCCATCAAGGGTATGCGTATCTGAAAAGCCACCAAGTATCTGAAAGACATCACTTTACAGAAGCAGGGTGTGCCATTCCGTTGCTACAGTGTGGAGTTGGTAGGTGTGCCCAGGCCGAACAGTGGGGCTGGGCACAGGGTCGGTGGCCCAAGAAGAGTGCTGAATTTTTACTGCACATGCTTAAAAATGCAGAGAGTAATGCTGAACTCAAGGGTTTAGATGTTGATTCTCTGGTCATTGAGCACATCCAGGTGAACAAGGCCCCCAAGATGCGGCATAGAACGTACAGGGCTCATGGTCGGATTAACCCATACATGAGCTCTCCCTGCCACATTGAGATGATCCTCACTGAAAAAGAGCAGATTGTTCCTAAACCAGAAGAGGAGGTTGCACAGAAGAAAAAGATATCCCAGAAGAAACTGAAGAAACAAAAAACTTATGGCCCGGGAGTAAATTCTGCACAGAATAAATGCAAATAAAAAAAAAAAACAAAACAAAAAACAATATTAAAAGTAGCTAACGTTTCTTGAGCATTTACTCCATGCTGGGCTCTGATTCCGGTACCACGTTTAACTTCACGGCAGCCCTACAAGAAACAGCACCATTTCTCAAATCTTTCAGATCCTTTTGTGATCATCGTTTTGGGCCTGCCACTCCAATCCTGAAACAGATTTGTAGGTAACATAACCTACATGTGTCGTCTTTTAAGAAGTCATTCTCATTTTCCAACTGTCACATAATGGAGAAATAAAAGAGGAGTATGGTTTATTACTGAATACCTTCAATATATAAATGCTCGCTCCTGGCTACCCTAGAGGATGGGGAATAGTAGTCAGATGTTTGCATCTGTGCATGGAAGTCCTCTCTGTGACTTTGGCAGCTCTGACGGCAGGCTGATAGAGTTATGACAGACTAGCTACTCACGTGCTTGAGGTGGTCTCGATGTCAGCGACATGACTTTCCAAGATGGTGAACAGTTCTTAGCAAAGCTCCAAAACTATAGCAAAATACAGCCTCATCTCGATTTGCACAAAAATTGCATTGCTGGAATGTCGAGTATACATTGATACTGGACAGAAAATACTTCGTGTTCCTCTACAAGACAAATTTTGGTTCTAGGGTTTCCACCCACACAAATGTCCTGTGGACATTGAGAACTCCTGTAATGCTGGAGACCATTCTATAAAGGGAGCAGGTCTGGCTTTATTGAAAGACATGGCATCCTGAACCTTCATCCAGTAAATGCTACTATAGCCCTCCAGTCATTAGGACAACCACAAACACCCCCACCGATTTCTAGAAAGTCTCCAAGGGGTCATGGCCACTCCAGGAGGGAAGGATACTCTGCTTTCAGCTCTGTCTTTCACAAGTGGCAACTGAAACTCAGTAGTTTTCCCAAAGGCACATAGCCAGGAAATAGTAGAGTTGGGATCTAGACTATTCCCCTTGACTCCAGAGCCCTTGCATTTAACCCATGTTGAAACACAGGTAGGTTTTCTGGGTCATTTCTCAGAACTGTGACGTGAGTTTTAGTGAAAACCCCCTGCTGACTATCTCCTGTGTCCAGGTGTTTTGATGCATGATCGAATGTTCACAATAAACCTGCCATGTAATTCTGTCTATTCCCTTAACTCTAATTGGGAAGCTTGAGTCTGAGCCTTTTCCCCAAGGTTGCTCAGCCTATGAGAAACTGGATTTCACATTCGTTTTGACTTCAAAGAGCAGGCTCCTGCCCCCACTTCTTAGAGCTGGGCCATCAGGAATAGGGAGCATGTATAACCTGTTGATACCATTCACCCATCTCTTCCAGACGTCCTTTTACTTTCTCATTACCCGACCAAATAATTGGCCAGAAGAGGCCACTTTTGAGAGTGAAAGCAGACACCGTTATACTAGGACACGGATGTGGGTCACTCAGTGGTTCCCCCTTGTAGGGACGGGAAGAAAGGAATGCTCACCAGTTCAGTCCTGATGATCACACAGAGCTAGACAATGTCATATGCTGCCCAGGCAGAACACACTGGGGGCTCTCTTCTCACCGGAACTGTGCTTTGCCGCCCACAGTGACCATGTGACCATCTTGAAAGGGACAGTACCTTTTCTCTTTTGAGATCTTTCCCAGTTTAAAAAGTCAACATCCCAGCCTTTCCAAGAGCACAGTAGGTATGGACAGGCAAGCCTTGAAGATTGCCCCTCAGAGCGTCACGAAAATAGGTGGGGGGCAGGCCTGGGGACCCTCCACTGGACCCGCAGGGGACAGAAGCTCTTTGTAGGTGGTGACGGGGGCAGAGAGCTGCTTCCTGTAGGGAGCCTTGTCTCCTCCTTGGGAGCAGGACAAGAGAAGTCTTCTTTCTGCTTACACGTAGAGCTTGTGCTCAAGGAGTACAGTGACGAATGCTGCCTGAATTTCCCCCAAGCTTTTGCACTTGTCTTTATTATATTAATAAATACTATGCAGCTAATGTTCCCATCTGGCAGGGCAGAGAAAAGAGCATAAAAATGAAGCCGTGGTTACAGCTCTTAAATACTAATGAAGGTGGTATCTACTTGGCATGGTAGAAAGGTGGGTCTTTATTTTAGAGTTCTTAATTAAGAACTGCCAAGTGACTAATATTAATTAGGAAGCCAGCTGTATCCTTCAGTTTCATGGTATATTTCTTCTTAGGAACCTGGGAAGGGAGTAAATCTGAGCCTCTTTTAATCAATCAGCGCACGAGCAATTATGCAGTAAGTATACTTTGTAGATACAAGGCCAGGCTATGTGGATAGAGATTTATAAGATACCGTCTTGGCCTTCTGGGTCTCCACCGGTTCGAGGAGTGTGCACCAGCATTGAGCCAGTGTCAGGACAGCGAAGTCAAATGCCCCAGAGGGTATCTAGGTAGAACAGGATGGCCACAGTGCGGTGGGAGGGAGATTTTTCAAACCACGCAGTGCCCCGCCTCTACTAGGGTCTCAGTGGCAAGCCAGTGTGAGCTCTGGGAGAGCATCGTGTCCCCAGTTACAGTGGCGTGGACCAAAAGGTTGAGGACAGGCTGTCAGGCAGCGGTCCTGGGTAGAAATCGGAGGGCTACAGCTGGGCTCTGAAGAGGAGTAGACGATTTCCAATGGTTGCGGAGCCCTGGGCAGCCCCAGAGGAGGAAGGAAAGGGAGCGGGCCGGCTGGACCAGAAAGGGGAGTCCTGGGCATCACCCTGGCACGTGCACTCCAGCTCCTCAGTGCCTAGCCTGTCCACCAGCTGGTGCAGGAGTGATGCCCTTGGAGCTGCTCCTGCCTGCACACACTCAAGCGTGGCCTCCGGCGGATTCCTGGTACCCCGAGCACGAGGGCAGGGGAGGCAGTTGGAGCAGAGACTCGGTGCGCTGTGTGTTCCTGGCGTGACCACTCAGCTCCTTAATAAAATGGTACCTGGAATAAGGGGCTTAATGGGAAGCACCTCAAAATCTCTGGCCCCGTGTCTGCATTCTAAGTCTCTTTTGACATTGATGTGTTAATATCCATTGAATTCTAGTTCCTTGAGTCACTAGCAATTGAGGAAGGATTTTATGAAGATTAAGTTGTAATGGGCTTTCTTTTGACTTTGCCTGACAGAGTGTTAATTTTTGCAGTGGTGTTTTTTTTTTTTTTTCCAAGCTCGAATTGTAGTCCGATCTGCAATTCTCTCTTCATTTCATACCTAGGAATTCAGATTGCTGAGTTGTATCTGCAGTTAAACTGACACCTTCGTGAAAGCGCCGGATCTAGTGCTGTGGCGGGTGCAGCCTTCCCGATGCAGAAATCTGCAAGTCTCCACCCCGCTTCACTGACTTTCCTGGGGAGCCCTTCCTTCACAGGATCCACGGAGACCTCTTGGGCTAGAATCCTTAACTCTGAGCCTGAGATGTGGTCACTGGGGAGGGCTTATTCTCTGTAGATGTGAACTCCTCCGTAGGGGGCTGAGTAACGTACGCTTCTCTCTCCTCACACTATGCCATTGAACTTGGAGGTTTTACATCTCTTCCGAGTGCTAATTTCCATCCAGGTCACACCTGCGTGTGTGTGTGTGTGTGTGTGTATGTGAACTCTCTCTAGCCCTAGTTTATAAACAGCGTTTTTTTCTACACCCAGGTATCCAGAACAGTCCTCTTCCCAACTTTCACAGGGCATTTTCCAGAATCCTACCTGCTGCTTTTGGTAAAGTCCTGATCAGTTCCTGTCTTTGGAACGCTGCCCCAGTAGCCTGGTTCCGAAATCTCTGATTATTACTAAAAGCTCAGTTCCCTTCAGAGAAAAAGAAACTTTGGAAATAGTAGGTCTGTGTTTTTCTTTCCATTACGTAACTTGGGGAATTTTACTAACCTCACGTCAGCGTCAGCCTCGAATGGAATCTGTTAAAGAGCTACATCCGAATGGTATCTGTACAAAGAATAATGTGTATGGAAACACTATTCTCTAGGAGAGTGACTTTCGCCATATCCAGATAGCACCTAAGTTGTTATAAGGTTTAATGGTTTTCCTTAAATCAATTCACATTCTTAAATTTATTTTTAAATGAAACAGTTTAGCAGTATTCCAGATGATAATTGGCATCACAATTAATAAAAATACGTACGTAGTGATTAAAATGTGAAGCTTGCATGTGTACATGTGCAGTCCTCTCTCAGAACACCTTTGAGAGACATAACTTGGGGGAAAGATGTTGTATCCGAGGGCGCTCAGGTGGGGTCAGAGAAACAGACCCACTTCTTCCTGGCTTTAATATTAAGGAAGGGCTTCAGGTTTAATTTTACTTACAAGTTTTGTTTACATCAGGATTTTTCAACCTCAATAATTGACTTTTGGGCTAGATAATTCTTTGTTGTTAAAGACTGTCTTGTGCGTTGTAGGATGGTTAGCAGCATCCCTGGCCTCTAGCCACTAGATGCCAGCCCCACCCCATCCCCCACCACCAGCTGGGACAACCAAAGATGTTTCTAGACATTGCCAAAAAGGCCCCTGGTGGAGGGGGAAATCGGGCCTGGTCGAGTACCACTGTGTTTACATATAAGCCATCATGTTGCTTTTACTGTCCTTGTTGTTGTTGTTGTATTAAATTGTCATTTTGTTAGGTGTGCGTATTTAAAAGATACTGCAGGGGCGCCTGGGTGGCTCAGTCGTTAAGCGTCTGCCTTCGGCTCAGGTCATGATCCCAGGGTCATGGGATCGAGCCCCGCATCGGGCTCCCTGCTCGGCGGGAAGCCTGCTTCTCCCTCTCCCACTCCTCCTGCTTGTGTTTCCTCTCTCGCTGTGTCTCTCTCTCAGATAAAGAAATAGAATCTTTAAAAAAAAAAAAAAATAAAAAAAATAAAAGACACTGCAATTTTTGAGACCGCGCATGTAACTCCCTTATACCCCAAATGGAAGCGGCCCTGGCGTCTCTTGAGACCTGCTCGGGGCCCACCTGACAGTCCTCTCTCTGTAAGGGCACGTTGGCTCTCCCCAGTGGTTGTCACTTTCTCAAGGGCTCTTCTTGGTGAACAAAAGACTAGATCTTCCTTCCCCTCCCCATGTGTTTCTGACTTACATGCAGGTACGCTTCATTATGGAACATGACTTCATGTGTTACCACATCAGCAGAGGCCTACATTTTTGTGAGATACTGTTTTAAATGTATGATCTCTTTAATTTTAACAAAAGTCTGTAATGATGCTGCTTAATATTATTTATCCCTGTTTTTTTCCCCCCATTGAGAAAAACTGAAGCTTGGCTAGGTCACGTGGCTTGCCCAAAACCACACTGCTAAAGATGCTCTTCTGTTAAAACTGAATATTGGAAGCAGTCTGTCCCCAAAACAAAGAAATGTTTGTCTTAAAGTTGAAATGCAGTGTGGATTCACAGGTAGCCTGTCAGTGATTGTGTTTATGATTTGTGGCAACTGCCGATGCAGTAACATCTGTTTAAAATTATAAACCTAGGGACGGCCCACTGGCTCAGTCAGTAGTAGAGCCTGTGACTCTGGATCTCGGAGTTGTGAGTTCAAGCCCCACGTTGGGTATAGAGATTACCCAAAAGTAAAAAAATCTTAAAAAAATAAAAAAAGTACAAATCTAATTACAACATAAAGTATGATTACTATTTAAAAAAATACTTCAGATGAAAACTTAAATTTACAAAAATGCTGGTAGAAATTATGTTGAGGTAAGAGACTTCTGGCAGTTTTCCTTTTAGCCCAGTTCTGATTTCTAAATGGGTTGTAATGTATTTCTTTTTCTTTTGGAAATGAAATTTGGAAGCTAAAAATGAAGACAGATGTAGCTGGGATTACTGTCAGAGTTAAGTTTCTCTCTCCACTTCTAGCCAGGGAGCGTCCATATTTGGCACATTACAAATAAATGTCTGTGTGCCCCTGCGTCTGGGGTTGGCGGTCTTTCCGAGTCGATTTGCTGTACGCTGGGGTGGAGGGCTGGCCTGCCACCTTTTGCTGAAGGAAACACGCAGGACACTGCCGTGGGGTACCCAGCCAAAGTACGTACTGACGGAAACAGGCAGTGGGGCTGCTCCTCCCTCCGTTTGTCGTTAACTATTTCTTTCTTAATATGAGTGCATCTGGGAAGAGGGGAAGCCTTACCTGCAAGACAAGAGGGCAGGGGACTTGCCACAGGCCTAGAATAGTTCTCTCTCAGTGACAGCAGCTCCTCATGTCACAGAAGGGTAATTCACGATGGACCATGTCACCACCAACTTTTTCACTAGTGGGGACTTGTAACCGGGACCAGATCGGCAAGACCATGAAGGAAACTCATGGCTGGCCCGGCTACATAAGCCAGGTCGATAATGGTTTGCCGGCAGCATGCGTAGAACATGTTTTAAACAACACGAGTGTTGTCTCACGTATTATTTTCATTGCAACACCCTTCCGTCTATGTGCTTCCATTCATTCTTAATGTCTTACTGTGTGCTAACAGGTGCGCTTTGAATGGATTCTTTGGGTAGTTGCTCCTTGCATGTTCAGGGGGAACCATGTTCAAGTGCCAAGTACCTGACACTCGGTCCTCATAACTAACGCTCTCAGGTGGCACAGAGAATGCCTGTTTCACATAGGAGTGAACTGAGGCTCAGACAGGTTCTGTATGACAATGTATTCCTTGGTGATTCCTCTTGAATGGGGGGTTAATCGATCGGACCATCATCAACGGGCCTTCTTTTGAGCTTCTGGTGTGTATAGTTGTACTTGTCAAATGCTAGATGTTTCCTAATTTAATATCTGCTAAAATTTTCTGATGCTTTTGCTTGTTTACTGTTTCCATGTGTTACACCTAATGTGAAATTGAGATTTGGGTTAATTAACTACTCAGCGTGATTATTTCCCTCAAGTACGGGGGAGCTTCGTCTACCAATTTTGCCCTTCTTGTTGATAATGTTAGCGTACATATGGCTCATCTCAACTTTAAAGGAATTAACCTCCTAACCCGTATCTTGAACTCTTTTTTTTTTTTTGGCCTCGATTCTCTGCCCACCCTCTCCACAACTACAAAATTCCTAAGGAGCATGACAGTGTGTGGGATTGCTTGATGTATGTTCACAGTACACGTGATCTTCACGTGCATCGATAGATAGCCTTCTGCACTCACCAGAAGCACTGGATCATGTCTGGAAAAGAAAGGTTTTAATATTTTTAAAGAGCTGTAGACATTTTAATCAAAGCTTCTTCTCGGCTTTTGTCTGATGTGTATCAGGAGAACATACAGTAAAAGAGAACACGGCATTACTCTAGCCCGCCTGTCTGAATATATTTCAGCTCATTGAGCTAGATTTCTCCGAAAAGGGAACATTTCCAGCCAAGTCTGCCCTAAAAAGATATTCAGGGTGGCAAACCCAGAACTTTGGTGCCTGCAGGTGCCATTTTTCTTTCATCCTTAATGTTTTAAATTATTCTCACGATGAAACCTAATGGCCTAATGAACAGGGAAGGTGCCCAGTCTCAGAGGAGGATGGACTGAAGCGTCAGACTCAGGAAGAGCAGTAAAGCCCACAAGTGTCGGTGGCCAAAAATCCAGCCCACACAGTCTCCACGCCTTTGTGCTGGTGACCTCTGAGGCCTGGCAGTGACGTGGGCTCTCTGAGGACTCCCACCCTGCTTGTAAGCAAGTAAGTCCAAGAGCATGAAGCACAGAGGCATATGGAAATTCCACTCTCGAGCTTAATATACCAACATGCAAAATGAATTTTTCATACTGGGTTTTGAAGAAATGGAAAACTTCCAGTTCTCCCTCACTGGTGTGCCTTTTGGAGTTAGTGCCCTTTAAAGCAGCCGGAGGGGGTATGACTGTAATGTAAGCAGAGTGGTGTTTGCAAGTGAGAGCTATGTGAAAGGCAGTGATGATTTTGGAAACATTATTCTGGGTGTCGAATTGAACAAAGAGTCGTTACTGGAGGAAAAAAAATACCCAGAAACACTTTAATAGTCTCTCGGATTTGGGCCCAGAGAACCATACTGTGAATTGAGTGGAAGATAAATAGAGAGGAAAATAGCAAATTAAGGGGGACAAATAACCAGGGAGGGGCGGGTGTCCACTGGCATCCGCAAGGAGAACATATAACCGGCGTCTGATGCATTTCCTTAAGAATCAGTGTGTTTGCAAATTGCTTCGTTGCATCTTAGCAGAATCTAATCTGAGTAACGAAGAGCTGACTAGCGAACGTAGTTGGATGAATTCCCTCAGTACTCCTGAAATATAACAGAGCAAGGAACAGTATAATGAAAAATAACAGAGAGAGTAGCTAGGGGCTTAACTTATGATCAGTGTTCATTACAACAAATGGCACTTTCACTGCAGAGTTACCATAAAGATTATTGACTCTTACATAATGTGGTTCCCATCTGAATAGATCTGAGAACAGCTCAGCCTGTGAATGAGAGGGCTGAAGCAAGAGCACAACGATGTACTCTAATCTTTATTCATTTCTTCACTTTGTTCTGGAGAGCTGCCCATTCAGAACCACGGACAGAGCAAAAGCCGGTGAACCTTCTTGGAGGAAGCTTCTCCATGATTCTCCTTGACTAGCATGGTTATATGTTATATTCAGTGAAGACCCGGCTCAGAAAGTGACTAAGCTTTTTTTTTTTAAGATTTATTTATTTGAGAAAGAGAGTGTGTGTTGAGGGGAAGGGGCAGAGGGAGAGAGAGAATGCCAAGTAGACTCTGCACTCATCGTGGAGCTGGACATGGGGCTTGGCCCCACCACCCGGAGATCGTGACCTGAGCCGAAACCAAGAGTCAGACGCTTAACTGAGTTCCAGCTTGTTAGTAGTTTCATATTTAAGATCCTCACCTGATGTTCTTTGCCATTTGCTGTTTTCCTCAAGCATGCATGTTACAGCACTTTAAAAAACATCTCTTTGGAAAGAAACTGTGTTTTGTGTAAAACTTTCAGCACACAACCCAAGAGCATTTTGCAGCTCTGGCTTCAACCAAGGTTAGAATGGACAGTCCCAATTCAGAGCACAGAGTACATAACAGCCTTGGTTTACTGAGCACCTGTGTGGTACCTGCTAAACACCTTGTTATTTCATCCTCTTAGTGACCCTGTGAGATATGTACTGTTCCTCTCATTCCCACTTTCCAGATAGAAAGCATGTTCAGAAGACGTTAGGTAAGTTTGCCAAGGTTACCCAGCTGCTGTCTGTTAGAGATGAACTTCAAAACCAGGTCTAACAGTGTGCCAGATGTTTTAACTCCCACATCAATGCTAAGCACAGAGAAAGATACCCTTTCTCTCTCTCTCTCTCTTCCCCTCCCTCTCTCTGGAAAAGTTGGCTGGATTTGGAAATCAGACGTATCAGGGCTTGGACCCTTTCTTTTTCATTTGTGAGAAATCCTGCAGAACTGACCTGTCATCTCCTAAGAGTGGTTGTAATGCAAAAAAAGTTCATGTTTAATGCATAGCGATAAGCTTTTTGCATGATTTTCTCATTCATTCCTCAAAACTGTGGGCAGCATAGGTCTGTTTTTTAGATTGCAGAACTGAGGCTTGGAGTGGCCCAGGCTGCATAGCGGCTAAGTCTGTCCAGAACCTTCATGTTCAGCCAGTATTACATGGCTCATTGTGGGCAGTTTCAAAGTCAACCCTGTCAAGTGCCCCCCATAAGAGAGGGTCACCAACAGTGTTAGCCAGAGGCAAAGGTGACAGCCCCCAGGTAACATGGGAGGCAGAAGCAGAGCAAGGAAACCCAAAGAGGCTAGGGGTGAGGGGCTGTGTCGTGACAAGGAAAGAAGCAAAGTGGCATTTGGGAACAAGTCAACAGTTGTCAAAAGAATAATGAAGGCATCTCTGGAAGCTCAATAGTAGACAAGTTTGGGATCCTATCCTTCCTTTAGTTTTCAGTTTCTTATTGCTGAATTGTATGGAAAAAATACTTTGGTGAGGAATGGCAAATTAAAAAATACTGTTAGCCATGGGATAGCCAGCAGATTTACTGTTTGTCCCCAATCTCTTCTAAGCACCCAGTTTTCTCCTTTATTACATGCTTGAGTGGGAAGCCCTGCCTCGTGACCATTGGCACTGAGCTTCTATAGACCTCCCTGTGGCTCATCCCCCAGACTTCCTGGCCCAGAGGTCAGAGACGGATAGGGAGACAGAGCAGAGTGACGTGCCCGAGGCTAGAATTGGTATTTGTCACTTCACAAGGAGCCCAGCTTAGTGAGGAAGTCCAGCTTGCTTGCGAAATGGCCAAACCCTGTGACGCACAGTACTCGTAGCCTGCAGCTGCTGCTTCTCGAGCCCCTCCTAGTAGAAGCCTTGCGGAGAGTGCAGCCTGGTTGGCTGTGAGTTGAGGACCTTCCGCTCTTACAGCTGGGTTTGTGTTTGTTTTGGGGAAAGAGGACTGACTACACTTTTCTCCAACCAAGTAGTGTTCATGAGCTTTGGGAATTATTGATATTGGCCTGAAGACTTTTCCAGGCTCATACTGAGAACTATTATAAATAATTGAAGATAGTGGAAGAACCTCTACCTAAGTGGGATTACTTTTTTAAAAAATACTCTGGGTGTGTGTATGTGTGTGTCCATGTGTCCGTCCATCGTTCCTTTTTCTGAAGCACAAAAACCAAGTGCCAAGAAAGAGTCCCTCAGCTCTCAGAATGCCTTTAGTACAAGAGATGGCTCGACTCCCCCATATTCACATGGTCTGTGTCTATTGTACATCACAGTAACCACAAACAGCATGCGGCTCTTGAGCTGTTGAATTACAGATGTCTGATTGGGATGTGCTGAAAAATACTCAGCAGATTTCAAAGACACTTAGTACAAAAAAAAAATTAAACTTACATGATATATTTCCTAAGTCATTTGTCTTTAAATTAAGGATAAAGTAGATCATTAATCATGTTTATATTGATTACATGTTGAAATGATCATATTTTAGATATATTGGGTTAAAATATATGAAGGTTGATTTCATTTGTTTACTTTTACTTTCTTAATGTGGCTCCTAGAAAATTGGAAGTTACATTTGTGGATTTTGTGTTTTGGACAGAGCTCTTCTGTAGATCTGTGAAAGTACGGAGTTTGTCTCTACCAATTAGAAGTACTAATATGTGTTTAAAAAATAAGATTTTAAAAATAGCTTTCTGAAATATTGACAAGGAGAAAAATTAACTCCCTGTAGTGA